CAGTATATATCACTGGTGGAGGGGGGGGCAACGGGGCAAGTTCCCCTGCCGGACGATCTCCCTCCCCGTTCCACAGGCACCGTGCAGGCAGCCGGCAGAGGAGGAAGAGAGGACCCGGGGCAACGCTCCGTCTCTCACGAGGGCGAACTCTAGCCCTGGAGCTACGGGCTAGAGTTCACTTTCACCACTAGTGGTCGCAGTAGTAGGAGTGAACTCTAGCCCCATACACACACTGCCCCCCCCTCCACACACACACCATACACATTCACACACTGCCCCCACACACACACACCATACATATTCACACACTGCCCACCCACACACTGAAGCTTTCACACACATTGCACCACTGCTCCTATACCCTACTACTGCCCCATATCCCAGCAGACTCCAGGTAAGTTGTCAAACTGTTCTTAAACGGTTTGACTACTTACTCTGGGAGGGGGTGCCGACGCTCCCAGCACCATAACCACTACACAGAGGAGTAGTGGTTATTGTGCATGGAATATTTCTTTAAATAATCTACAAGTTCCCCTCCCGGGCTCAGGCTCTGGATCCGCCACTGGTATATGACATGTATATTAATGTGTGTATTAGTTTTATATATATATATATATACCTATTATATATGACATGTATATTAATGTGTGTATTAGTTTTATATATATATATATACCTATTATATTTACACATATTAATGTACATTTATAAATGCATAATACACAGAGAAATTTCATTAATATGTACCATATGTAATGAGCAGATATTGGCCCAGTCTTGTTGCTAGGTGCATACTCCAGCACAATAACATATTTAAAGTGAAGAGCACACCCACAGGACTTCAAAATAAACATTTTTTACAGTTGTGCCCTACATACATTCACCATTTCAGTCCCATTAACAAGCTTTCCTTAATATGTCAAGGTAGTTGGACTGAAACATTGATTACATGCAAAGGCACGTCTGCTTAAAATAAATCTGCACTTTTGTTTATTTTGAAGCCTATGAGTGCGCTTTTTATGTTGGAGTAATTTTTCATTTTAAGTTATCTGTTCTAACTCTGTATCTGCACACTATGCTGGCGTGACGCATTATGGGGCTGGTAAATATTTTTTTTCCAGGGCTGCTTTTAATTCCCAGTCCGGCCCTGTCCACTTCACCTCCTTAACCAGCCTGCCTGTGTGCACTACCAGAGGCAGAGGGAAGTCGCTCACTGTTTACTCTCCGGGTCATCCCTCACACTATCAGTCCCCTCCGCCAAACACTGGTCCGTGAGACAGTCAGAAGCAGGAGTGATTCACTTGGTCACCTCTGCTTCTGATTGGCTCACTCAGTGCAAGTTCACATACCATAACTTTTTGGGAAAGGGAAACTATAGCGTTAGGAGTACTTTTCCTTTAAGGTCACAACAGCCCAACTGTAACAATTCTACAAGGCAGCTATCCTTTCAGTTAAGCTACTTTGGACTTAAATTTGAAATTCTTTTCGAATTCACACTTTGGTAAACAAACCATGTAGGGAATTCAACCATTACTTTCCAGGACAAACTATAATTCCTTTTTCAAGAGTTAAGACCTTCTTTCAAAGTGTCAGTTCCAAATGAAACCATTAGATGGCAGTAGAGGCATTGTGGCTTGTGTTTTTAGTTTTGTTTTTAGAAGACCACATTGGAGAGGTGCTTGATGGAGGTTCACAGCAAGGTATGTTTATGTATCAGGTAGTAAGGTATATTTTTGACTCAAACACTAAAATTAAACTCAATCATTTCACTGGTCCAGGTCTGAATTTGTAGCAGTGTCAAAAAAAAGAACTTCTAAAAGCACATGTTTTAGACAAACAAGAATGCACAAACTATAAAGTAATGGAAAACCTCAGTGTTAGAAGTAAAACCAGACATTCTGCAAAATATGTTGTGAGAATGCACATTTCTTTTTTTTAGCGTTTTTCTTTTATTGGTTTGAATCTCTTTTTGTGTTGCTGACCATAAAGTTGTCAGATCCACCATGATTCCTTCCTGAACACACATCACTTATTCATGTTGATAGGACATTGAAAGTGCTGTTCTGCTGTGTGCAGAAATCATATGCTGCAGGATGCATCACAAATTAAGACTTAATGTTCCTCTTACAGCCTTTGAATTAAACATTTTTCCTGTGCTGCTCCTACACATTTGTGTGTGGACATGAAATCATGGGTTTTGGGACAATTCTAGTCGAACATCCGCCTCTGTGAATATATTGTCCTGTTAACTCAGTAATTTATTAGTCTATACACCAAACTGTTAATTGTGGGATCAATTATGTGAATTACAGACAACAACGCAGAGACGGAAAACATGTTTAGTTAAAAATTTCTACGACTTTGCTTTTTGCCAAATTTTACATTTTGTGATATTATTATTATTGCCATTTATATAGCGCCAACAGATTCCGTAGCGCTTTACAATATTTTGAGGGGATGTAACAATAAATAGGATAGTCAAAAAACTGTGTGAAAAACACACGTCTACATAACAGTTGGAGAACGTTTCCAAATAAGTACTTTTTACCTATTTAGCAATTTGGATTTTAATTCATTGCAATTCTTTGTTTAGAGATTAAACCCTTTGGTACTAGATTCACTGTTTTGTGAATTAGATTCTACACCTGCTACTCCTAATTTTCGGTTTTCATTTGTCTTTTCCAAATTCGACAAATTGTTTCTAAAAAAGACTGTGACACCACAACCAATTAGCAATGAACATACCCAGAATTGACCTGGCTGCAATATTAACTCCAACTAAAAGGTCTCTGCATTCACATATTTAAAATAACATCTTAGTACCATAACTACTAAAGCAGGGGTTTACATGGATGTTGTGGAGGTGGGGAGCACTCCTGGGGTCCCCAGATAAAAAGTGAAACTGTTCTAAAGCGGTCTGTCTTCTTACAATGGAAAGGAATAAAATGTAAAAATAATTGTATCTCATTTGTCTTATAATAAACTTGTGTTGTGGTGGTGGTTGCAGTGGATAGATTGCTAGCAGGGTTTGTAAGAGTTAACATTCTGAGACAATTTAAAGGATCACTAAAGTCAATCTCAGTGAAGTGGTCTGGGTGCATTGGTACTGACATTTTAATCCTGCAATGTTAAAGGACCACTATAGTGCTAGGAAAACATACTCGTTTTCCTGGCACTATAGTGCCCTGAGGGTGCCCCCACCCTCAGGGTCCCACTCCCGCCCGGCTCTGGAAGGGGTAAAAACTTACCTTTTTCCAGCCCTGGGCGGGGAGCTCTCCTCCTCCGTTCCTCCCCGTCGGCTGAATGCACACGCGCGGCAGAAGCTGCGCGCGCATTCAGCCGGTCGCATAGGAAAGCATTATCAATGCTTTCCTATGGACGCTTGCGTGCTCTCACTGTGATTTTCACAGTGAGAATCACGCAAGCGCCTCTAGCGGCTGTTAATGAGACAGCCGCTAGAGGCTTTGGGGGAAGGCTTAACCCATTGATAAACATAGCAGTTTCTCTGAAACTGCTATGTTTATAAAAGAATGGGTTAAGCCTAGCTGGACCTGGCACCCAGACCACTTCATTAAGCTGAAGTGGTCTGGGTGCCTAGAGTGGTCCTTTAAACATGGTCGTTTGCAGGGTTAAAAACACCACTAATTGTCTTCCAGACAGCCACTAGAGGCGCTTTTACTGAACTGATTGAGTAAAACATGGTCACGTGAATTTGCAACTCCTAAAAAAGCATTGAATTCAATGCTTTCCTATGAGAAACATTGGATGCAGCTCACTGTGCATGCGCGTCATGTCCCCAGACCTTAATTAGGAGCTTTAGATAAAGCCATGCATCCTCGATGACGTTGTAACAGGTAGAGTGATTTGAATTGATCACAATGACTGGAATCTGTATGTTCAGCGTTTCATAGCGAGTGTAACCCCACCTCCGGTGATGACAATTTTGTGAATATTTCTATGCTCAGAGTTGCAATCAGTTGACACTCTCAACCAATGAGTGGCCAGCGCCCGGCGGAAACCCATGTAAGAGGGCAAACAGTTGCAAAACAGTTTGCTGTATTACCGGGAGTCTGAGCCAGGGTACAACAACTACAGCAGGCTAGAGTAACTCTTTAACTGGTTCACCAGTTTTAGTAAGATATTAACCTACTTGCTGTCAAAATTCATCCTCCCTCTGGCATGTTGAATACTTCTCTAAATGTTCTCAGATCTCCTAGTTTTTAAACACGTTACAAAGATTTTATAAAGAAAGAAAGAAAGAAAAAAAAAATATGTGAACTGATGGGTGCATGCTGGGAAATGTTAAATGCTTCCCTTTCAGGAAATGTAAATGCTAATGTATTATTAGTAATGCTTTAAAAGCATTCTTCAAACTAGCGCAATGCAGTGAAAAGTTCCAGAAAAGTAACATGGCATGTGCCTAGAGGGCCCTTTAGAGATGATTCCAAGAGTACATGCGCTCACAGTGTGTTACCAGCACATATATTGAAGATTTTAAAGAACACTCTAAGCACCATAACTACTACAGCCATCAGGAGTACCCTGGGACCCCCTTCCCTCGTGTAAGTGGTTAAACCACACACGCTTTTTTTTTTCTCTCTCTCGAACTTTCTCAGTAAATACATAACTCATGTTGTAGACAGAGCACAGTTCATGAGGGCCCCAAACCGCAAATTATTGGCAAAAATGCAACATGTTTGCTAAAAAAAATAAAAATAGTGGCACTGCTTTTGTGGCAGAAGGAAACACATTAAAGAGCAGTAAACATTGTGCTTATAACATAGACAAAAGTATTGTTTGAACCGCCACTTGTTATTAGAGTGTCACTCCCATCGCTGTTGGGCTAGAAGGTGTAATACCCATTTAAAAGCACAGGCTATTGGTGTATTATACTGTATGACTGTTTAATAGTCTGTGTTATTTACTCAGCAAAGATTCTGCAAAGGGAAGTCTAACGTTCGTTACAAGGAAGTGGCTTAAAGTGTCGATCTCCATGATCCATGAAAGGACTTGCAACTTTTGTAGGTAAGTACCGGTGACATGTTTTTATAAAAATCATTGCCCAGCATCAGCCTGTCTACTAGTGCTGTGAGTTGTAGTCTTTCATTCCTGGTAAATAAGCGCAGAATTTGTACGTTTGCATAAAAGGTACAGTGACGTCGATCTCAGCTGGTAAGATTTTTTTTGTGATTCTGTACATAATTAAAAAAAGAAAACCATTCATATCAGTATTTCCTTAATAAAAATGGAGTACATTTTATTTAAAAAAAATAAAATAAAAGGTTAGGTTAGTCTAAGGTGATAGTTTGTAAGTCAGCGTAAATACCTGTGTTTTTATATATATATATATATATATATATATATGTGTGTGTGTGTGTATAGTGTATATTTGCATGCACACAGACACACTTGGACATATTGTCAATGAAATTGTTTACGACAGGGTTTCCTATGACCGTGTGCTAAGTAAACACAGAGATTATGTTTCGCTTTGGTATCCTGAAACCAAAAAAAAAAAAATCTCCCCAGATTCCCCACAAAGATTCTTTTAATGTATTTAATTTGAAAGCATAGCTGTACTGTCACCTTCCTTGCATTGTCTCCGGTGAGTCACTGTTAATTAAAAAAACCACACACAATTTACATAAAAACACAAGAGATCTGGATAAAGAAAATCCATTAACTGTGACTCCTTTACGGCCTTTTGTCTTTACCATGCATGCATAAATAGGCCTTCTTCAAACAGTGCAGGCTTGGTGGGGTTAATGCTTTGCAATTTGGAGCCTGCCAGAGCGGAAGCCTGTTTTTTTTTTTTTTTCTTTCCACCTTTCTGTCTGTTGCTCTAACCCTTTCAACTCCAGAGGAATGAGCAACACATTTTCTTGCAATCCACTCGAGTCTGCTGGTTCTCAAACAGTTAAGTAAAACACGGTTTGATTTCTGGCCTTGGAGGATGGGGGAATGAAAAGGTTTTCTGAACAGCTCTGACAATTCCAAAAGCTGTTTACATCTCATGGGATTGAGATCTCTCTCTCTGTATATATATATCTATATATTATAACCATTTTCTTATTATCATTTCATTTTGAAGGTGCGCAGTTTACGCAGGATTCCCGACTTCCAGTTACTTCCGGAAACATTCTGAAGGTTTGATTTGAAATTAATCTTTATATGTGTTTGCAACATGTTTATCAAACAACATTGTATCAGTTATACTAGGATAGAGCCATCATCCTGTGTCCTTTTCGAACCTAGATTCTACATACATTTCTTTTTTGCTGTAGTTAATAAAAAGCAGGTTAAAGGAAAATAATTGCACGTGTACAAGAGTCTGCAACATTTTTTAGATTTTCGTTTTCTTACTGAACAATTCAAAGCTAAAAAACAAAAACCACTGTGTGCCCAAACCCATAGAATCTTGAGTGTCTAACGTACGTGAAGTGTTTTACTAGTAGTGTCTTATTTGCTCGGAATCTTAGAACGTTGTGTAAATTCGGTGTCCCCCTTTTTTTTATAGGGGGGAAAAAAGGCCTAACTAAGCCTGTTTCATTCTCTTTTTGCACAGGATGGCTCCTGCTTGCTCGAGCTGCACAAAGATAATTACTCAGGAAGTGTGTCAGCCAATGGCTTGAAGCATTACATTTGGATTTCTAAAAGCACCCAATCCGGCCCTCGCTTGTATCAGGAAGACAGATCATTAAACTCAAGTGCCAAGCCCTTTTCTGTCTGAGAACTGAAAGTCTATCCTCCATGTTTTATAAGTATTGACATAACACAGTTAACAATGCATCCACAGAGGTAAGATTTGATTATTTTTTCACTGTGTTACATTTAATTACTATCTTTTTTTTTGGACATACAAATTGTGCTTTTGTAGGTTACATCAGCCCGGTTTGTTGCGCCCATATCACCTATGATCACTTTATTCAACTGTTTAAATCTGCTCTCTTGTGTCACATGGTTGCCAGCCATTAGCCATTGATTGCTGTAAAGGTAGTGTGGAGTTTGGGGTGGGAGGGAGACACTCGATGAACTAAGTTTACTTCTAAAGAGTGCTGTTTTTTTTTCATCATTGGACACCCTCCCCCCCTGAGAAGGAGCCCTGTCTCTCTGCGTACATTATTGTCAATCTCTGTGTCACATGCTGCTGGAGTTAACATGGATGCCAAGATTAGAAAAAGCCTGAAAATGCCAAAACGGTCAGCAAAGGAAACTGGCAAACTGATCTAAAGGCAAGTTTAACCTCTACTTGTCACTGGAGCAAAAAGCTAATTCCAGGAATCACATTTTTTTTTGTAAACCGAGTAGGAGGATCTTATGAACACAAATGTTTGACATCGATTTGGGGCCTAGCTTGCATTTTGGATTTTTGAAGCCTCACTCCTAAAGTTTTTTTCTTAATTTTCTTATTTGCTATTTAAAAAAAAATATTGTTACGTACACTGTGGACTACGTATACTGGCTCTTGCTCATAAATATATATTTTTTTTTCTTTTTCTACTGGAATACAATATTTAAAAAAATATATATTTTTTTCTCTAAATTACAAACACTCATCAATTTTAAGTATGACACAGAATCCAAATTACACGGATGACACACAGTAAGTACTATCATTACCAAATGTTTATGGTTTACACATTGTCTTGTTTTGGGATACTTTGTTTGCAATCTAGGTTTACATTTTAGCAGTTGTTTGCATTTTATACTGTTTTCTTTTATCCTGCATGGTCACAGCTACATAGAATAATGGACTGGGTAAAAAAACAAAACAAAAAAATAACATAAAATGTGTCACCTAATTTAACCCTTTCAGTGCTGGAGAGGCCTAGTGTACATTTACATTCCATGCTTCTAGACCTCTCTCTGCGCAAAGGGTTAATTCTAGTTTGCTGGTTCAGACACTTTAAACCCCTGGAAGGTTTCAAGGTAAGTAAAATAGATTTTTAATTGAGGATTTTTGTGGTTTTTTTTCACTCTCAAGAAGCAAACGTATAAACATATTTTTTCTTTTTTGGAGACCTCATCAGTTTCTGATCAGATGGGGTTGTGGGGGAAACCTTTATAAATGTTTTGTTTTTTTTTGTTTGTTTTTTTTAAATTTCTCTTTGATTAATCTGCGTCTCAGGTTGTGTTGCCACTTCCTGTCGTTCACAAACCATATAACGCTTTTTTTTTCTTCTTTTTTTTTTATCTTGGCTATTTTAGTAAGCTGAGCTCATTTCACGCAGCCCTGTTTTGCTTGGTCGATTCTTTAGATTCTAAAGGTCCTCAATAAAACATTCCAAAAATGAAGGTCGCATTGAGATAAACTTTTTTTTTTTTTATTGTATTCTTTCTTTTTACCAGATATAATTACGCATTAACGTAAGTTGGCATGCATTGCACGTAACGAGTGTCTCCCAGTTTTGTCATTAGGGACACAGTGTTGTTTACTAGGACACATCTATAACATGCGCATATGTAAAATAAAAAGAGAATATTGATTGGTCTGGGGGGGTTTGTAAAGTATCACTAGTCGTCTTATCCACCCCCTCCAAGTCATGGCCGGGCTGAAGCACAAAAGCCATTCTTTCCAGTGAAGGGTAACTACCACACCACAGCTGTTGTTAAAATATAGGTCATATCAGCCTCAACCAGTCGGTGGATGGCTAAGCCTGATGTGATTACTATTCCATCATCACTTCACATCCCTAACTGACCATGTTTTGTGTTGTACATCCTGTTCCTAAAGTAAAACCACTTCTGTTTTTCTGTTGCCAACTAAATTAACCGTTTCCTCGGTTTTCTAGAATATTGCAATTACAGATTGCATATACAGATAGACTATATCACGTTGCTTTTTTTTTTGTTAATCCCCACTGGAATAACGATCTGCAGGCCTTCAAACACTAAGGGGAGTAAAGGTCATAAGATGGCGTCTGCTGTATGATTCATATCAGCTAAGCTGTGTGCTTCATTGTTACAGTCATTATAAAAGAAAATGGCATAATAAAGAAATATCCCCGGTGAATTCACAGTTTACTTTCAACCAATTCAATATTTTCATCCCCCCCTGACCCCCCATAATTTTTCCTGTACATATCGAGGTTGATTGTGGTCCCACAAAGATGACTGGAGGGGCTGTCTCAACTCATGGGCAAAGCATTACAAAATGGCCTCCTCTCCATTTATACCATGCCTGACCAGTGATCACTCACTTGGAATATTTTTTGCAGTTTTTTAAACATTATATCCTTACACAATGCCTCTTACACCCACGATCACAGCTAGACTTTTGAAATCACCATTTTCCTTCTGGCCATGTTGCCTATTGGGATAAATCAACTTTTTATAGTATATGGCTAGGCGGCCATTTTCCTTGTACAACTGTTGGCATTGGTTGCTGTAGTTAGTTAGGCCTTTAGGCCCAGTAAGGTGTATTCACAGTTTAGGCAGTCCAATGCTGCTGGTTTTATTACCCCTCTCCGATAATTCTTGAAACGTGCTCTCCATACAGGACTCCATTTTGTCTACCACATCGGCCATTTTAGTTTCTGTCTAAACAGATTCTATTGGCGGTTACTAACTTGGTCATGATATAAAGCAATAGAGTTAAATATTTAAAGTAATTGGTGCTTTTGCCATATGGATTTTGTTTTTGAGTCTGACCATTTCAGGGCTGTGATGGCTAACACTAGCAACCCAATATATTTCTGATTCGCGTTACCCATGATGCTCAGCCAGCATGTTCTAGTGCTCTAAATCTCGACCTAGGGCATCCAATGAATTATTTTTGCAAAGTTTTTAAAGATGTGCAGTATTTATTTGTGGATTCGCTCAAACAAACAATGAATTTTGGTTTTCATCTCACACATACACCACCACCGGGAGATAAAACAAAAAACAAAAACAAAAAACGCCTGCATTGCACCAAGAGCAAAGAAAATATTTTCAAGGCTTCTTCAACCAGTCTGCCGCCCCTCTGCTGCTCCTACACCAATGACGGCACAGAGGTGGCTGCAGATTGACAGCTGCAAACATAGAACAGGGATAAGGCCTTCTGGAATATTCTACCAGCAATGTTTACTTGACGTCAGGGCACTCAGTTCCTCTGATCTTGTTCGTATGTGTTTCTAAAGGGAGTGGTGTCTCACAGCCAAGCATTTAAAACCTGTTTTGGTTTTAACAATGGTTTTAGAATGTTTCAAGGTTTTCTTTTTGCATATTGCTGATGGGATTCTTTTTTTTTTTTGTGAGAAATAAAACTGCATAATAAATCACTAGTGGGAACTAGTGGGAACATTTTGACTCTTCATTGGTTTTGATTGGGGTCAATAGGTGACGTAGGTGCGTCTAGAATATTCTTTTTGACCTGCTAATGCTGTTGATTTTGTATTCCCCAATCATTGGCCTATTACACCGTGTCGTCACATTGTGCAGTCATGGATTACCAAATACGTTGGAGATTGGAATAACAAGTCTTACTGAGTATATTTCTGAGTGGGTTGTAGTTAAGCCAAAATTGACAGTTGGACAGATTGGCAAATCCTCTGGACAACACCCTCTGTAGCATGCGTACATGACGACACCTACTTTTCATGCATGTCTGTAATCCTTAGACATGGCGTACTTTACAAGTTAAAGACACATTTGGCATGTACGTGGGCCAGCTCAGGGCAGTCAGACTGGAGCTACGACTCGTGGTCCAGCTTGTGGCTGCCAATCTGTCACTCATCGTACATATTTCAAATTTATAAGCAAACAGGCCAGACCCTCTTAAGATCCTTTTTTTAACTGGACTATGCAGTGTTTAGAGTACACTCTCTGTTCAGCAAACAAAATGGAGGAAGTGTAGGGCATGCACACTGCATTATGAGAGTGTGCCTTGTCTTGTTTTATTTTTTCTTGTGTTTATATTTGGCAGCTTGTACTGTAGTCTGAGCTTTTTGACATCCCGAGACCTAAATAAAGTAGTCATATAAATAGATTAAAAAGAACACTCGGGACACCATAACAACTTAAGTTGATATGGTGCCAGGAGGTCCCTGGTGCTGGCTCACTGTAAGGAGTTAAACCGTTTTCGAATGGTTTAACCCCAAAGTCTGTGTTCCATTGCAGAATCTCTCTGCCTCTCTCTCCTTCCGTTTTCTCAAAATCTTTAAACTGGAAGGCTTTTGCAGAATCGGCAACAGCCAGCTGATGCTCTCAGCCAATCCGTAACTTTCGATTCATAAAACTGGCTTGAAATAGATTAGCTTCTTATCAAGACAGTTTTATGAATTGGCAGTCCCTGATTGGCTGAGAGCATCAGCTGACCGTTGCCCGATTCTGCGAGACCCTTCTGGCTTAAAGATTTAGAGAAAACTGAAAGACAGAGAAGCAGGGAAATTCTGCACTTGATCACATACTTTCGGGCCAAAATCGTTCGTGATGTGAGTCAGCACTAAGGACTTATTGGCACCATAAGAACTTAATTTAGATGAAGTTGTTATGGTGCCCAAACTGGTCCGATAACGTTTGTTTTTTTTCAGGCTGCAAGCTTTTCGATTTCCCAGGTCACATTTGACTCCTGGTTCCTAATAGCACCACGCCTCAGGAGGACATTTGCTCTAATATATCATTAGTTCTTTGGACACCTGTAAAAATGTAAACATTATGTTTTGAACAAGAGCAAGGTCAGGTAGCTGTTCAAAAAGGAGGGAGGAGAGAGAACATGAAACCAGTGTGTTGTGTTTTCACCTCCCTAACTACAACGCTAAGGGGATAAGGGACAAACGTGCTACTATTTTCTTGTGGGAAACGTACACTGACAAAAAAAAAAACTAAGTCTGGTATCTTCTACTCCCTCCCCCACTCATGCATTTGTATTAATTTTCTCACGGAGATTCTGCCACTGTCTTCCATTTTAATGCATTGCCTCTGAAGTTCAGAAAGATATTGAAAATATTTTTCTTTGTCAATTTATAGGGCCTAAGGAGCAGTTCTTTAAGATAGACGATATAGTTTATCCGCATGGAGACATTGAGGATACATGAGCAATTTTGTGACGATAGTGCCACACAATAATAGAATATAATTATATTGTTCATGGAAATGGTTTTTCACCAGGAGTTTGCTAAACTACTAGTTGTTGGTGAAAACCCAATAATTGTCCAATTGGTTGTGATTTCCTCATATTTGTACAGTTTAACCTGTTGGTAAATCCTTGTCAGATCTCTGTCAAGTTAATGCTATAGAGCCACCTTGCTGTTGCACAAGTTGGTCAGTAGATCATTAAGTGTCAACTTCCTGCTGAGTTTAGCCAAAATTAATTTGCTGTTCAAAGTCTATGAGAAAGTGTCTGCCCGCACCTCCCACGCCTCCCCCCTCTGTCAGTCCCTATGTTGGCATCCAGTTAGATATAGGGCTCAATTTAAGATTATGGTGCTTGCTTACAAGTCCCTACATAATGCTGCTGCAACCTACCTATCCTCCCTACACACAAATATGTCCTATCGAGGCCCCTGCGCTCTGCCAAAGACCTACGCCTATCCTCTGTTTATACTCCCACATCTGATGCCAGCCTCCAAGACTTCTCCATAGCTGCACCTTTTCTGTGGAACTTTTACCCAGTCTCCACTCCTTCAAAAAATCTTTGAAAACACACTTCTTCAGGAAAGCATATCATTTAAACTGTTAGTGGGTTTTCATTCGGACCTCCCCCCTATGACCCTTCTCCTTCAACTGTCAAAAATAACCTAAGTTCTCAGTGAATACTTTTCTAGCAACCTATTTCATTACCCCTACTTATACCCTTTGTGTCACTATACCCCACTCCCTCTAGCATGTAAGCTCATTGAGCAGGGCCCTCCACCTCTGTTCCTGTGCGTCCATTTGTCTGGTTACAATTACGTGTCTGTCAGTCCGCCCATTGTACAGCGCTAAGGAATTTGCTGGCGCTATATAAATAATACAATAATAATAATGAGAACAAAAATGTCTGAAATTATTAGGTTGTTCCTGCAAATTTGTTCCATGCATAGGCTGCATTAGGATGTGCTGTAACATAGCTTGGGGCCTAGTCAACAGAAACTTGTTGAAGACCAACATGTGTCCATTTAAAAAAAGCAAATAAACAAATAAAACAGGAGAAGGGACAAAATGGATTCCAAATAGCTTTTTACCGTGGTAAGCTAGTTTTGTCCCAAACTGGCAAATAGCTTTGCGTGACATTGAATATCATAACACTTTACAAATTTGCTAGGCTTGTTGTCCTAAATATGTCCCTCACAGTGTTATGAATGCTATTGGGTAGCTGTAAATATAATCCTGTTTGGGACAAGTTGCTAAATTTAGCGCTAGTAATGCCATGTACTAAAATATTTACACTGCTGCATCAGAAGAGGCCATCTTTAACAAAGATACAGCGTGTCAAGGATACTACGGTTATGTTAAACCCTTTGTGGAAGTTTTATTTACATGGAGGAACATAAATTGAAATTGGAATCACGCAGTTAAACTCTAATATGAAGCAGGCTTGCGTTGTTGTCTAATAAAAACACCTTGGATATTTGGCAACATGTAGTTACTCGGAAGGCAAACTCTCATATATTATTTTTATTAGTTTGGAAAGGTAGTACACTTTCCTGACAAAAGAACCATAAAATATATATTTTTGTAATTTGTTTTTTTTTGTGTTCTTTGTAACTTCCACATTTTAATTTTACTTTATATTATGTATAGACCAATGTATGTCTGGTGTATGTATGTGTGTCTGTGTGTGTATCTGTTTGTCTGGATGTATGTGTGTCTGCGTGTCTACATATCTGTATGTCAGTGTCTACCCTATGTATATGTATGTGTGTCACTGTTTGTATCTGTATCTGTTATATGGTGTGTATCTGTATGTATGTCAGTGCGTGTTTATCTGCATGTGTGTCTGTGTAACTATGACCTGCTTCACCCTGCCACACTCACAATAACTCCCCCAATCCTGTCACTCACCAATGCCATACTTACCTCCTATCACTCTCACACTCACCTTCTCTAGCACTGTCACACTCATTCTCCCTCACTTTGTCACACTCGCCCCCTTTCACTCTATCACATAAACCCCTCCAATTCTGTCATACTCATCCTCCCCAACCATGCTACACTCACCCTGTGGGACATGAATGAAACACTTGGAGGGCCTGGGGGCATGAATGTGACACATGAAGGGGGAGATATGTGGGGATGGGGCAAAATTCGCACCGGCTCCCTGTGGTTTCTAATTACACCTCTGGACTATAACATTTATATTTTAATGAAGTCCATCAACAGAAACAATCCATAGAATGAACTAGGACTGACAAACACTCGCTACCCCAATGCTCCACTGTAGAATGCCCCTTGTACAGAATTTCAAAAAGAAGTAGAGGTATATCTGAACCATGTGTGTAATTGAAAGAGTAGTAGCTACAAAGTTGTTCAGGGTACATTTAACATTTACTTGTCATAACAAGGCAATTCTCCATTTTCCCTATATATTTGTCCTGGAACATCCCTTTGATAATAATTATATCTGATATTTTGGAGAAAGGGACAGATCTCTGTGGGCTCCATTGTCTAAATATTGCCTCGTTGTTACGTTAGCAGCACCAAAAGAGGTAAAGATGATTAAATCTCGTTTATGTTGGCTGGAGATGTTTTCGAGGATGCACTGACGGCATATTTTGGAGACCAGGTCAACAGTGAGCAGTTTTCAGTCTATGTGCACTCCATTTGCCCATTGTTGTACAATTTTGTGCATTTTCTGCCCAATTAATTCTTTTTTTTTTTTGCTTCCTAAATTCTTTACACACTCACCTTGACACTCAATGGTTAAACTCCGATGGGCGTTTGTTGAGCTTTAGTCCATGAGTAAGCATCTTTATCAGAAGGCGTGTGAGGTGGGTTATTGTAGCGTAATGGAGATTGCTTTACCATCACTCTATGGCTCTGTTATTTTCAGGTGCCCATTTATCTCCTGTTTACATTTTTTTTTAATATTAATTACCCATCTTTGTCACAATTTATTTTTTAATGGCCTACGTATTCTGCAGCTCTGTATCATTGGAAAAAGTATACAAATAAACATGAAACATTGAAACAGACAGACACAAGCTTATTCCTTGCTAGAATTTACGATCTGTCTCCTGTACCTATTCAACAAAATGGAGGACGTCTGGAATGCCTTTACAGTGTGCATTTACCTTTTATGGACTGTCTCCTCCATGCCATCCATTTCCCAAAGCATAAACCTTTAAGAATACCAATGAATAAATCTTATTGTTGTTAATTCCACAAATTTAAAAAACAAAAACACCATGGGTTTTAAAGGAACACTTTAACAATTGAGATGTACATATGTTCACAGCATGATATAATTAAAGGGACACTAGAGGTACAAAAATACATTTAAAAACAATATAAATGATAAATATCATTTATATTGTTTTTATCTTTTTGTCTGTCACAAGGTTGGGTAATACCTATAATAGTGAGCACCTAATGCACCTAAACTAGTTTTTATTTACAAAAATAAATGTACCTTAATGGCATGATTTTGGTGTATAGATGCTGCCTCTGAAGTCTCACTGTTCAACTCTCTGCCATGTTACCGTATATACTCGAATATAAGCCGAGGCCCCTAATTTTACCACAAAAAACTGAGAAAACTTATTGACTCGAGTATAAGCCTAGGGTGGGAAATGCAGAAGCTACTGGTAAATTTCTAAATAAAATTTAGATCCCAATAAAATTACATTCATTGAATATTTATTTACAGTGTGTGTATAGCATGAATGCAGAGTGTGTGTTTGTGTGTGTGTATATAATGAATGCAGTGTGTGTTTGTGTGTAGTGTGTGTATATAATGAATGCAGTGTGTGTATATATGTGTATATAATGAATGCAGTGTGTGTGTATATAATGAATGCAGTGTGTGTTTGTGTGAATGCAGTGTGTGTGCGTGTTTGTGTAGTGTGTGTAAACTGGGTGAGGGGAGGGAAGGGCATTTTTATTATTATTATATTTTTTTAATATTTATTATTATTATTAATTTATTTTAATATTATTATTATTTTATTATTTTAATATTATTTTATTCTAATATTTGTATTTTTTTTTTTATTTAATAGTTTTTTTGTCCCCCCTCCCTGCTTGTTGCCTGGCCAGGGAGGGGGGCTATGTTAATCCCTGGTGGTTCAGTGGATGGGCTGTGCAGTGGGGGGGTTGGCAGAGAGCTGTTACTTACCTTCCTGTCAGCTCCCTTCACCTCCGTGCAGCTCCATTCTGCTTACAGTGTAAGTCTCGCGGTATGCGTGCCGCGCTGAGTGTTGCCACGGTAACCCGTGGCAATGCTCTGACGGCCGCGGGTGTCGTGAGACACTGTAAGCAGAACGGAGCTGACAGGAGCTGCAGGAAAGGTAAGTAACAGTTTGCTGTCAGCCCCCAACAGGACCGCCAGGCTTGTAATGAGCCCGGTGGTCCTGGTCTGTATTATGGCAATGTAAGTTGCCATAATACAGACATTGACTCGAATATAAGCCAAGTGGGGGTTTTTCAGCACAAAAAATGTGCCGAAAAACTCGGCTTATACTCGAGTATATACGGTAAATTACTTTGTTTATGCACCCCTAGTCACACCTCCCTGCATGTGACTTAGACAGCCTTCCTAAACACTTCCTGTAAAGAGTCATCTAATGTTCAAACATCCTATTTTGTACCATCTGTTTAATTTAGAATTTTGCATCTCTTGCTCTGTTAATAGCCTTTTAGACCCTACAGGAGCACCTGTGTATGTGTGATTAAACGTCAATTTACAGAGCAGGAGATAAAAACATCTAAAGCAAGTTAACATTTTAATGAAAATAAAACCATTTTGTTTTAATGCAGGCTGTGTCAGTCACAGCCAGCGGAGGAGTGGCTACGGCTGCATCAACAGAAACAAATGTGATTTAACTCCTAAATGGCAGAGAATTGACCAGTGAGACTGCAGGGGCATAATCTATACACCAAAACAGCTTCTTTATGCCAAAGTTTTTTGATGCCTATAGTGTCCCTTTTAATATAAAGGGCTTCAAAATAAATTTTTTTAGAGGGAGAGGTTTGTGGCAATAATAGAAACAAGATAACATTGATAGTATAGAATCTAATTCTGCCTTTGAAGATAAGGATTAAGACCTCTGATTCCTACCTGTATCTCTGCCTAAGCCATTGGCAATAGGAGACTGCCTTACTCTTGGTACTCAACATAAGTCAAAGGGACACTGTAGGCACCCGGACAACATTGAAGTAGTCTGGGTGCAATTTCCCTGTCCCCTTATCCCTGCAATGTTAATTATTGCAGTTTCTGAGAAACTGCAATAATTACACTGCAAGGTTGAGACTGCCTTTAGTGACAGTCAGTCAGACTGCCACTAGAGGCACTTCCTGCTTGCTTTTGGTTGCATAACGGATGCTGGACGTTATACGCTCTGCATGAGGACATCCAGCGTCCGTAAAATCCCATTAGGAACGCTTTGAAACAGTGTGTTCCTATGGGGAGGGCAAAATGTGCTTGTGCGACATTAGCCCACCTGTCTGGTGATGTCTGAGGAGGTGGAAAGCCTATCCAGCGCTAAGGTAGATCGGTGCTTGAATTGGGTGAGTACAGTAACGTTTTTTTTTACCCTTACAGTGCAGGGGACGGGGGGCGATGGCAGAGGGAACTATACATTGTATTTCTAGCACTATAGTATCCCTTTAAAGTGTCTTGAATGACCTTATGTTCTTTCCAGTCAAGGAAATTTCCATATATGGAGACAGTAGATATTTCTAAACTTTCTGCCCTATTAATCCTTCGAGGCTATGGCTTTGACCAAGTACAGCAAAAGTCTCCTTCTATATCTCACCCACTGTCCAAGGATCCACCCTTTATCTGCGCACCTATAACTTATTCATTATGGGGAGAAATATATTTTGTGTGAATTTTTCATCAATTTTATTTTTTAATTTTTTTAGGTACGTGTAGGACCAAGCATAGATTATATTCATGTTTTCTGTTTAACTTTGCGTCACTACCCACAACTTCCTTGTTGACAGGTGGTTTCGGGTTAGAGACCCAAACCGTGTATTTTGAAACTTTTCTTTATTTGGAAAGTAAGCTCAGCAAGTCCTTCTTCAAGTGTGATACAATTAACCATTAAATATTATCAGCAAAACATGTTAGACACTTCCAAATATCGTAGGGATCTCCATTGCCCTGGCTAAGGTCGTGATGCAACATTAACTTACTGGGGTCAGATGAAATGGCTGTGCTAGTTTCTACCATAGGGGACTCAACTTAATGATAATTAAGAATCTGTTTTACAGCCCATGAGCAGCTATGTTTCAGTAGGGTGAGGTAGTTGTACATAGCACAGTCATGTCAAGTTCTAAACTGAAGCATTCATCAGGAACATTCCATTGGTTTCCATGGTGATTGCTTCACATTTAGAACCTTTCCCTAAAATACAATGTAAGGTAAAATAACCTCCCAAACTGTTACATTTTTCCCATTTTATAGGTGGATGAACCTGGTAACTGATTGTTGATACTAACGTTGATCTTTGGAGAGGTCACAGTCATTAGGCATTCCAGGAATGATGATATTGTTATATTGATATTAGAAGAGATAGCAATTTATTGGTAACGAACCATAATTGGTGATGCAAAAGGACATGCATGTGTTTTGTTAATACTTCAATTTTCCAAAGTTGTTTACACATTCCTTTTGGTATTAACATCTTCCTATCCGGCGTGTTCTTACACACTTTACCCTTTTAAAATTACCGAATGTTTGTGCAACATTGACACATTTCTTTTCTTGGTTTTGTGATTTTTTTTTTCTTCACTTAACCTTTTTTGTTTTATTTTTTTCTCCCCCCCCCACCCCCTAACAAATCTTGAAATTTGAGGCAATCCGCTTGGTTCGGTGGTGCCGGATACAGCGGCTGGGGAAAAAAAAAAAAATTAGTGAAACACTTTAGTGAACAGATGCCTTTATGGCCTGAACTGCTTCCATTTTAGATAGAGTGCAGGGCTGATGCAGTTCTCTGTTGCCTGACGCCATTTTAAGAGACTGCACAAGTAGCTTTACCCATCGATGACTAAGACAGTGTAATAGGTGAGTCCTGCTCTAAAAGCTGCTATTTCTACAGTTTCAAATTTGCTAACCTTTGCTCCTGTATACATGATCTTTAAATATTGGGTTTAAATGGCTTTGGATTTCAGCTTCCTTTAAATACTGTACATTTTGTAGACCAGGAATATATTTAACAATTTTAAAGGTGCAAAGCTCTTGTTTTTCCTGGTTTCGAGTTCTCACTGCTGTTTTCTGTTTTTTGTGTGAAATGTCTGATAATCGTCTTGTCATGTTCTGTCTTAGCAATTCAAGCTTCGTTGAGAACATTTGCTTTATCTGTCAGTGTTATGCTTTGATTTATTTAATTTTGTCTCCCCCCCTTTTTTTTTCTCTTTTTTTTTTACCAGTCTGCCACAATATAACCCCCCAATATAAAAAGCATGCCTCTTGCAATAAAAAGTACAGTTGACACAGAACAAAATCAGCCAGGCAACTATTTAACCTTTAACCCTCTGAGTGCTGGTAGGTAAAATAATACATGTGCACACATTCCTGGCACTCAGAGGGTTAAACTGCTGACAGCTGATGTATTCATAAGACTATTGTGTATATGGTATTGGAAGAACATCCGTATATAACTGTATGTTTTATTATAGGTTCAACCCTTTCTTTGCCTGTAGGGATCTTTGCAACACATTACAATACTACACTAGTGTTTATGGAGTTAAAGAAATGTTCCGACTGGAGCCAGTGTATCCTCTGCTTATATTATTGCTTCTATAATCTACTTCCCATTTAGCTACATTCTCACATTGCTTTAAAATGGCGTTTCTTAGATTCCACTGTTGAATTGAGATATGCGTTAACTATTTGAATGCCAAAGAGCTCAGCAATAGCATGCATTACTCACCCCCCGCGTAACTCAAATGGTTAACTGTGCAATAGATTAGATCAGTCGTTTTGTGACATTATCAATTCTAACACAGAGATTTGAATGCAGCAAGATCCGTTCTGCTGTTTTTAATCTTTGCCTTTGGTCGCAGAAGAGAGGCAAATCTATGTTAAAATGTCACTAGCCCACACAGAATTGCCCACAATTAGCCCCCCAAACCTTACCTTTTTTTTTTTGTCCTCTAAAATCAGTCCTGTCTTCTTGCCCAAGAGGTTAATTCACAGTCCTGTGTCTATTAGCTTACTGTCTGCAGTACATGGCAACATCTAGTCCACAGTCAATATCAGCGAATGAGATTTGAATTTTGTTTCCCCCCATTTAAAGGTGTTATTTTCTAAATCACAAATAGAATCATCTTGTTTTGAAAGAATATTCCAGATAATTTTACAAATGATTATTCTTAAAGCTGCCTGACTACTGCATTTTATTAAAGATGTCTGTTTTATTTTTTTTAATATACCATCCTCACATTATTTCAGGGCACTTCAGCTAAGTCACAAGGTTTTCCTTACGGAGAATTCTGCAGGGGCTTAAATGTGCCTCTTGAATACTGACACTGGACATACAAAGTACTGTTTATCTTCCCTCTCGCTCACTATTTTCTTGGCTTTTAGCAAAGAGCAGTCTATAATTTATCACTGGAAGCATGGGGCAACAAAAAGCCCATCAATGCTACCAATATAGGCAGTAGTGCACTGAACACTTTTTTTTTTTCTAAATCCAGGAAGCAGAGGTGATTTGTGGGTCTTCATCCAGAGGGTAATTGGTTAAATAAAAATCCTATTCAAACAACTACAATTCTTCCAGCCATCATTGAAAGAGATTGACACTATTGGGTGAAGCCATGTTCATTTGGCAACTGTTACAAGGGTTGTAAAAGAATCATGTCCCTTCGGAATCCTAAGGATTGTATATGATCATATAGCAATGTAACACTCTGGCTAATTTTTTTTTTTTTTCATTTTTTTTTCTTGTATTTTTTTCCTAGCTTGGCCGAGGAGGAAATCAAGACGGAGCAGGAGGTGGTAGAGGGAATGGATGTCACAACGAGATCCAAAGGTAAGGAATCTGTCCCATATTCTTTGAAAAACTGGGATATTTGCAGAGTCACTGAAGTCCATTCTAAATTCTGTATCACTATGGCCTTCACTCAGACTACATTTCATGGCTGTGTCTGTATTAAATGTGCTAAGTGTTTTAATGGCAGAATTTACAAAAGCATTTATAACCTGATTGAGAAAGAGAGTTAAACACATAGTGTCCAGTTGCTTTATCTAGCTCCTAGTATCAAATTCATAATGTAAAATATAAAATTTTATAGGCCATAATTCATATTTACTCTGTTTAGAGTTCTATTTTTTGGGCTTATACTAGCATTTTATGTGTGGTTGTTTTAATGTTTATTATGTGTCACTCATACCTTTATTATTTTGGTGTTTAGGCTCTGCTTACCTCTGTTGTTTAGTTTTTTTTTTTAACATTTTTGTTTTAGACATCTCGGCATTTGGGTAAATATATTTATACACTTATTTTAGGGATGTCAATTTAGATAAATGTTTGAAATTACTATGTGGACCGAAAGCTAATTTCTAAACGATTAATCTAGTACAAGTGTTATTGACTGTGGTAGATATGAATGGTTTAAAGATAAATGTTAATATTTGGATATGGCTTGTGTTAATTGTTAATGGGCTGGAAATGTCCTGGCACACATGGCTACCAGGCAACTTCCTGTCTGAATCGGCACTTTCATGGCCAGCAGGAAGTTTGGTGGCAGCCATCCTGGAACATCAATGAATTAAGAAGTGCTTTGTTAAATTTTGTTGAAGGCAGAATATGGCTAAAATTGAGTTTGTGTGGTTACAAAGTGACAAATCTAATGGATAGATTATGTAGCATTTTTTCTCCCCCCAATACGATTTATATATTATTTTTTTTAATAAGCAGACCACTATTAATAGCTTAGATGTTGGACTGATGTTTATGACCATTTATTGTGCGTTATTACATTATACACCCTGGTTTCAAAACTGTGTGTGTTAAAGTATTTAGCCTCAGACCCCTCAGCTCACTAACATCCTACTTCATTTTTAACATATGTCTCAAAGATATCATCCTCCTGGAAATCTTAATAGTCCTGTTTTGCCTAGAATTGTCCTGTAATAATGCTCTATTTTTCTAATTCTCTGTTTAAAAGCCAAGTCACATAACACTCTTTTTAGCTACACTTGTGCACTGTTGGCACCATAACTGTTTCACTTCATTGAAGTGGTTATAGTGTCCCTAGCAACGTCTTTCCATTAAGCATATTTAATGTTTTATTGCTAAATGAGAGTCCACAGCATCCCACCCTCTCTGTGCTGCTTGGGCTAATGAGGAAGTGTTAGCTTAACCAGTAGTGGGTGGCTGTGATTCGCTCAGAGTGTCAGCCGACCGTTTCCAGCCTATCACAATGCCCATTGCTGGTAAGAATCAATGGTTTAACGCTAAATGGAGGGACAGTGCCATGGCCACCAGGCACTATAACCAAGTTAATGAGCTGAAATTGTTATAGTGCCTACTGTGTCCCTTTTAGTGTATGTGTGTGCTTTTTTTTTTTATAACTTTATGGACCCCACAGTGGTGGTGACATCTCTTGACATTTTGGGATGTGCACGCTAACACATTCATGCATTTGAGCATTGGTTTATTTATTTTCTCTTCAGTTGAAGCTAATTTTAGTTCGCTTAAAGGACCACTTTAGTGCCAGGAAAACATACTCGTTTTCCTGGCACTATAGTGCCCTGAGGGCGCCCCCACCCTCAGGGTCCCCCTCCCGCCTGGCTCTGGGGAGAGGAAAGGGGTTAAACTTACCTTTATTCCAGCGCCGGGCGGGTAGCTTTCCTCCTCCTCTCCACCTCTTCGGCTGAATGCGCATGCGTGGCAGGAGCTGCGCGTGCATTCAGCCAGTCTCATAGGAAAGCATTCATAATGCTTTCCTATGGACGCTGGCATCTTCTCACTGTGATTTTCACAGTGAGAAGCACGCAAGCGCCTCTAGCGGCTGTCAATGAGACAGCCACTAGAGGCTTTGAGGGCTGGATTAACCCATTTATAAACATAGCAGTTTCACAGAAACTGCTATGTTTATATAAAAATAAAAAAAAAGGGTTAATCCTAGAGGGATCTGGCACCCAGACCACTTCATTAAGCTGAAGTGGTCTGGGTGCCTAGAGTGGTCCTTTAATTACAAAAAGATACTGAATTCTGTGTGGCAGTTAACGTAAAGTCTGAGCTTTTTGCTTCTTTCTCTGATATCATTGGTTCATTGAATGAAGCTGCACTTGGAGGAAAAAGGCTGTTATCCAATGAACAAGCTCTGGGAAATTCACTTGGAGCATGTGCCAATGCTTCCCAGTGCAAGCTGTATGGTGGCAGAGTTCCGTACTGAATTAATGCAGTCACCAATCAGCATCCACCCTGGAAGCTAGTTGATTTGGTCAGATTGCTACATTAGAACAAGTGATAGAACCCAATGCATATTTTAGCCTTGGGAGGGAAGAAATCTAGTGCCAGGGAAGCAATTGGCATTACTGGTGACACACCGTGGCTGGAATGGAGTCATGGCTCATAGCGAAGCTTGGCAACTGAAGAAACCCGCGTGTAAGAACTGGTCAAAGCATTCTAGCACGGGCAGATCTGCGTTGCATTGACCTTGAACAGTGCAAATACGTTTAATGACGTGTATTTTTTTTGGTGCCTGAGACTGTATCTCTAGATCTTTGACGGTTTGCAGCTATGCCAGTGATTTTTGGCATTTTTACTATAAGTATATAATATCGTATCATAAATACAGCATAATCTGATTTCTGCATTCGAGATAAGTGCTCTTTTGTATTTAGCGCAGTTCTACAAGCAGGTGTTTTATATGAATGATGTTAATTTAAGGAAACAGATGTGTTTCACTCTCCTGTCTTCTGACCACAAAGTGGTCTCATGTTGGCACAATCTTTTTGTATGTATGTGCTCCTATATCTATATTTGCAGGCTGGGGTAGGTTCTATAACCGACATTCTCATTAGTAAATTATATGGTCAAAATACAGGTCTTGTGTGTTTTTGTGACCTCCTTGTTAATGGAGGTGTATAACTTTCTTTGCTATTAAATAGTGAGGTTATTCCATAAGAAGTGTGTACTAAATACTGATTTACATGTTCTCAGATATTCATGAAAGACACAGCTGTGGGTAAAGGGGTTGTGAAAGTGATTTACACTCCAGTTATGCAGATCGTTGTGAAATTCCACATCCTATACTGCCTGGGTTAGCCATATTTATAGTGAGTTTTAACTAAAAGCTAGCAATTAAATAGCAATAGCTATTAATTAAACATTTTTATTTTTGTGTGTTTTGCATTTTCACCTCAGAGACACGTTTGCTTTATATAAAGTTGCATAAAGTTAAAGGATGATAGAAAATATTCTTTGGGATGCCTCTTTTTAAAAGCATCCATTAACTCCTGGCAATACAACACTACGAGCCATTGCGTTCCACATGTGGAAACGTATAAAAACAGGGTCTATAAAAGATCCTGTGAGACCACGGGATGCCGTGGGCATTTGTTGCACTTTGCTTAAGATAATATCTTAAACTTCAGCCATTCCCCTCTATGACTTGTTATAATGGGTGGGACAACAAGGCAGTTGAAAATGCAAAAATGCGTAGTTTTTTCCCTTTTCTAAGAGGTACATAGTACAATTTATCTTTAGAATGGTTTGAAATTTCAGTGCAACATATTGGCATTGTTTATTTTCATAAAGATGTCTTCATAAAAAAAAAAAAAAGAAAAGAAAATCAAACATAACAGGTTTACTTTAGAGTGTTAGTATGTCATTTTAGCGGCAGGCACCGACATCACTGCTGTACTCTCACACATGCGCAAGAGTGCATCAGAAAAATCTATGGAGGATCCCGTGAGACCGTAGGATCCTCCATAGATACAGCTAATATCTCTGCAACACTTTTCAATGGCGGTAATGCCTTCCAGTGTCAAGAAGTGACAGGCGTGGGCAATATTCTGAGACAAGGTAGTCCCAAGGTGGTCCCTACTTTGTCTCAGTATATCTTACGACTGGGTTGGAATTCCAACACAGTCAGTAGGAGTATTTCATATAAGGGGCAGGTAGGCAGTGCCGCTTTAAGGTAATGTCTGACGCAATGTACATTTTTGTTTGGTTTATTGATTATCCCTTGCACCTATAATATCGAAAGACGGACCAATAATGTCTGTTTTTAGATATTCTTGAAGAATCTAGGAAAACTTAATGCGTGAAATAAATCTTCTGTTGTCTCTGATATTACCTGTTATCTTTCAGGTTGTCAGATTTGATTTTAGTTCTTTAAATTGCTGACCTATTCTCTGACCTACGCCTGGTAGATGGCTGGAAGGAGAGGGAGTTGATCAGCTCATAGGCTTCCCCTAAAAGGTGGGTTTTTACCGTATATTTGTTGCAAGGACTGGAATCTAGGGGAAAGCCTGATGGCATTGGGAATGGCATTCTGTAAAATAGATAGAACTGTTCTATAGATCATTCCAAGGTTTGTAGATTAGTCAATATCTCTTATTGGAGCTGAAATTGAGCCTGGGGTACTGTTCCAATGTATTTGAACTGCATTGTCCATGATTCTGTGTCAGCGTTTAGAGTTGCAAAGCATCATGGGTAATGCAGTTCCCAGGTATCTAGTTTAAACCATCACAAGTTTGAAAGTGTTGTCTAAACTACAGAAACCACACAAAACACTTTTTGTTTGTTTGGTTGGTTGTTTTTTTTTTTTTTGCAATATTTAAGCGTTATTTGGTGTTCTCGAAGCTAAATAACAAAAGCTGGTCATGTTTGGGGAAAAACACAAAAAACTATAATGCTGCATCCAGCCTAAAGTCCTGTGTTTATCGCACATACCCTGCACAATTGTAAAGGAAAAAGGGTGATATCCACTGGATTAACAAAGCCTCCGGATGTATTATGCCAATTTAGCAGTGTGGAAACATGTGGCTGAGCAAGCATAACTAACGGAGTTGGAATACTGTATTATTGACGTCTATTATTTATATAGCTCCAACAAGGTCTGCAGCGCTGTTAGCTTACTGGAAAAAAAAAAAAAGAAAAAAGGTCACTTTAGTAGTTTGATGTTAATAAATCAAAGAAAGAGTTTGAGGTCCTGGCCAACAGTCTTACAACATAGAGCATATTTAATGTAGATTCTTTGTAAAATATGAAAAATAAGGGGCATTTAATGAGTCTTGGCATTGCAAATATTCAGGACTACAAACCTTTGCAGTGCATAAGTTAGTTATAACTGCACTGTATTCTATCTGAAAGGAAACATGTTGACTATTCCTCATGTTTTTTTTGTAAGGAAATTATCCTTGTATTCCAAAATGTAACTAAGGGATGAGTTGAAGAAACTGTGTTTCCAGGGGGAATTTGTAATGGGGTAAAAGGTGATTTCTGAAGCAGCGTATTTTGAAAGCCTATAAATGCAATCACGGTTTGTATATAAAACACATGTTAAGGCACTATAGTGACCTTTTGATTTGAACTGGTACACCTCAAACCTGTCATTGAACTGTAAGCTGCTATCCGCAACCATTTTGTTTGCTCTCCACAGGACACGTAACAAAATGGTGGCTAGAGGAATGTCTGTCACCAAGCTTCCCAGACTGAACACATTCTATGTTTTACATTCCATCTCACCAGCTTATAAAAGCCACAATTTCAACATCAGCTAACACGATGGGCTTGCTTTGTGTCTGAGGACAGTGTGTGCAGCTTTTCTTCCTTTAATGTAAGCTGCGTATTCTAGTTATTTCTGCACTGATAACCCTTTGCATACCAGCAATCGAGTATCCTTTTCTTTTTGTAATGAACATTTTTATTGAGTTTTGGATAGCAATTTATATCCTATAGGAGATCCACAGAATCAAAACATTTGAAAACGAATTAGTACCACACAAGTTTGGGTCTTTCAACGTTAAAACCATTAGGTTTCTGACCTCATAGTATTACAAAGGCAAGAAAAGGCCGAAAAAAGAACAGGAGAAGGAAACCCTATCCAGATGAGCAGGAGAGAGGACCCATCCCCCGCAAAAATAGAAGTTGTATGAAGAGTAATTTGGCAACATTCTAAACTTGGAGCAATCAGCAGGAATATTCCCTTAGTTTCCATGGTGACAACTCTGCTTATAGAAATTTGCCACCTTACTGATGGTAATGGAACTTTATGGTAATCCTTCCATTTGGCTTTCTTAGCGCTCCTGGTTGATTTAGATGGCCATTTGCAGATTTAGGTTTAGCAAACTAAACTGTCTTTTTATCTGCCTTCCAAGTAAAATAGCAGAACCACCTATAGGATTTATCGGACCTCTATTACATACTTTGCGAGAAGCGGAATGCCGGTGGGAAAGGGATTAAGGGGCTTGGGCCAGTGACGCAATTATATCACTAGCTCCACCAAATGGGGGCAGACCCAATCATTACTGGCAGATCAGGAAAAGAACGCAATAATCGTGACTGTTCTGTGGAAAATGCAGTGGTTGTGAAGCCTGGTATTTTGCCAAACATTTAAAAAAAAAATGTAAGCAAAACAGGGAGTTTAAACCCCAAGGATATGCACCCCAACCACAAAAATAAGCAGCAGGGGTTATGGTACTTTGAGTGCTTCTTTAGCATGAGTCAAAATTACCTCCAACAATGCAAGGTTTCCAGATAACAAGGTCAACGCAACTGCTATAAAATAACCTCTAACACTTTGCAACACTGTTCCTTTCTCACAAATGGCTGGGGTGCGTTAAGCTGCCATCTGCAGAGACTGGAATGCTGTGCCTCACAGACAGTCTTTGTTCTTTTCATTGTTTAGCCGCATGCAGTAGTTGAGAGAGATTTTTGTGACATTTTTTCTGTTTTCCTGTACTAGTGAATGTGCTGGATGGCAGCTCACAATGCACACTTTGCGGCCTAATACAATGTGTACTTTTGTGTTGTGCATTTGTTCTACCCTCAGTGGTGCCGTTTAACCTTCTCAGTTTACGTGTTCATTTTTGTCCTTAAAGCATTGACAGATTACTATATCCCACCAGAATTCTTTATTTTATTTTTTTTTATGTCCAACACCAGTTTATTTCGCACTTTGACTTTGATTATGATTGTGAAGAAACAAAGCCATTAAACTGCTCTGAGTAAATATAAAAGCAGACTTTCATCTTTAGGACAATTACTGTGAACAGTCCATAATAGAACCGGGGCTATTTGTACTTTGCTTCTGTGAATTCTCCTCCGCCCCTCCTCCTCCTCTTTCTTCCCTGTGCGATTTGTAGTATATATTCTGCATAATACAAAATAAATACAAAATTATATAAAGCTCAGTTATTGATTATATCCGTTTTAATTCTTTGTGTCCAGAAGGGTTAAAATTGAAGCCACTAACTGTTGCTTTAGTCTCATTACACCTTGTGTAATAGGACTGGGGACATGCAGGGGCCCATCATGGGTCACAAGGTAGAGAGCCATGTTTTATCAAACGGGAAATAAAGGTTGGATTGTGTCCTTCATTACAACACTACTCTGGAATTAGTTGGCAGTCGTTCCTTTTAGTGGAATGTAGGTTATTGTTGGCAATTCAGCGTGGTAACATTTACACAGTATTTTTTTTTTATTTGAAGTTAAAAAGCATACTTTATTTCAAACATAATTATTTTACGACTGAAATCCTGCTGTTCTCACCATTGTGTGAAGCAGGCGTTTTTTACTGAAACATCCCTGTTTATTGGAAGCGTCCCATCCCCCCACCTCCCTCAGGCACTAGGAATTTCCCCCCCTAAGATGTGTAGGCTGACCATATCATGTCCCTCGACTGCACAAGTACAGCAGATTTCATTTATGTCGAGGCTTTCAAAATTCCCTTTCTGGAAGAAATGAACTTTAAAAATTGTTTAATTGTTAACATATAGCCATTGCTGCTTATTTTTCAGTTTATACTTATCTGTAGACAAAATAGGGATGCAAACGAGAAATGTATCCCTTCATTCTAGATTGTACATTTCATAATGACTTTGTGGTGGCATACAATGGCGTATGGCGACTTCATTATAAATCTGTGATTAAAGCTTGTTGTTGTTGGTATCTAAAAGTCAAATAAGTGAATTTAAAATGCTTTATAAATATGCTCTAGACCAGGCTTCCCCAAAACTCCGGCCCTCCACATGTTGCTGAGCTACAACTCCCATGATTCTCAGCCTATCTATTTCATTTATAGAACCATGGGAGTTGTAGTTCAGCAACATCTGGAGGGCCGGAGTTTGGGGAAGCCTGTTCTAGACAGACAATGGACATCTGACATTTTGTCACAGGTTTATTAATTTTTATTTCTCTCTTTCTCTCTAAATCGTAGACATTCTTCTCCTACCCCTTTTTTTAACCTATTGGACAGCCTTTGAGTTTAAAAAAAGTTGATCAAGGGAGAAATATACAATTTTGGGTTGGGTTATTCAGGGTACGGGTTGTGCTGATTTGGAACCTTGTTAAAGGGACATGTTCAGCTGTTTTTTTTCAGTTGCCATTTTTTGTAGTCCCTTACTTCCCGTAGCAGAAATATAACGATAGTGACATCTATGGCGTGAAACGGAAACAGTGAAAATTCAGATTTAAAAAAGATGACATTCAGGAAGCCGATTGTTAGCAAACCTATCTGATTCAGAACTTCCCAAAAAAGGAAAACTAGTTTAGGCTCAAGACTGCTAATATCTCTAATTTTATACTTATTTTGTGATATGCCCAAAATTTAGACAAGGCCTCAAAGTACCGTTAATGTCCCCAGTACTACTCTTGGGTGATTGCCCAAATGCTTTTTTAGCTACTATCACACACATCATCTCTCATGTTAGTCAATTTTTGTCATTCTCGAGATCTCATTATTATGCAGCTTTGCAAGACTACTTGTAGTTTTTTTAATTTTTTTTATTTTCCCCCAGAATATCGCTTAGCAATGTTACAACCCCCGCTATCAGTGTCCTAGCTCATCCTATCTTGCTTACTACTTGATATGAGCGCATAGTTTTCATGACATAGAGGTTTCCATGGCAACTCTGCTTCGTCTTTTTTTTTTTTTATACCCCCTTCCAGAACCAGACAATAATCTAAGGCTTCTCCCCAGAGACTCTGATAACAATGTGTCTTTTGTTAAACTGTGGATATTTTATATTTTGTTAGAAAAAAAAAAAAAAAAAAGTATTGCGCTTGCTGTGATAGCTTTCTATAGAGGATTTGATTGTCCTTCAGTGTTTCAATATTCACTGTATACCATGGTGTCAAGTGAATGAAAATTCATGTGCATGCAGGCATAGATGTTTGGTTCAGAGCTTAATTGGCCACTCTGAGCTAGAGCTGGCCCAATCTCCCCCCCACCCTTCCCCCCAATGTATTGTATGTATAATGCACAACTAGAGGGTTAGTCCAACCAAAAAAACTGTTTTTTCTAAAACACTGGTTATTGTTACAGTAACCCTTTCTGAGGCAGCTAAGGGGTTAATCTCTTTGTAGCGTTCCACAGAGAATCACTGTACAGACTGCAGACACCATGACCACTTCAAACCACTGAAGTAATTATGTGCATCTTTGAGTAGCCCTTTAATAATATATTCTAAAACAATTAATAAACAAAGCTCACATTTGAATGTACTCATTGGCTTTATTAATTTGTTCTGGTACTGAGTAAGGTGGTTTTTGTGGGGGGGGGGGAGGGTGAGAGGGGGCAGGGTTTGTATGCATGCATGTATGTATGTATGTGTATGCCTACGGTTTTATTTATTTACTTTTAATTAAAATGACAGATTAAAAAGAATTTGTGATAAAATTGGGATATATACTATTTTAGCCACTGGTATCAAGAGTCACCAGACAACAGAAGCCTTAGCAGACACAAAATCACATTGTTTGATTTTTATACATTCAAAGATAGATAGATCGTAGAGGATCCTCCTTCAATGTTTTGGGGGAACTTTCCTCTAGTGTATAGAACGTTACTGCTAATCTGCAAGTCCAGTGTTTTCTAGAAAATATTAACTTTAAAGGGACACTATATACTCACCAGAATAACTACAGCTTAATGTAGTTGTTCTGGTGAGTATAATCATTACCTGCAGGCATTTTCATGCAAACACTGCCTTTTGAGAAAAAGAAAAGGGCAGTGGCCACCCATCAGATGTCCATTAGAGATGCTTCCTGGGGCAGTGCTGCACATAGATTTAATTAATCTATCAGGAGAATCTCTATCAAGCTGGTATTTGGCCCTGCCCCCATCCTGACTCCTGCCCAACATCAGCCAATCCAATGCTTTCCCTAAATGGTGCCATTAACACTATAGGGTCAGGAATACATGTTTGTGTTCCTGACCCTATAGTGTCTCTTTAATAAGATTGCAGCTCACAGCTGCTGACCGTATGAGCCAAGTTGGGAATGTGCAACGGGTCTCAACCTCCCACTGCGAAGGAGTGTTTTCCAAAATAGCACACGTGCAACTGGTTTTGTTTTCGTAAATTGTTCTTAGGTGTTAATGTAATTATGTATTAAAAAACATATTTATTTTTTGTTCTGCGAATTACCAAGTTGTGCCATACAGTAGTAAATTTTTTTTGGGGGGGAGTGGTATCAGATGCCTCATAATCTTTACACCAATTCCATTTGAATCCTATTCCTTTTAGACGCTGTAATAGGTAGTCTCAGCTCTAGTCCTTCTCTGCGCTATATGGGGGTCTAAATAGTAATCCGTAAAACTTTGAAGTTTTAGGGTCACTTCAGAAATGTTTTGCTCCCTCCAGTATGTTATTCCTGGATGATTCAGTGATTATTGAGTGATATAAAAACAAGTAGTCACCGTTTTACCTATCTGTCTTTATAATCGATTGGTGTATAATCCTATTTTTTTTAATTTTTTTTTTTTTATTCTTCTAGGGCCAGCTCTTGCGTATCCAGAAGGTTTACCACCAGAACATGGAGACAGTCAACAATCTAGTGAGTACAACTTTAATAAATAATGCTGACAGAGTGTAAGGAGAGACTTGTACTGGTGTGTTCTCCAATACATAATAGATATATATTAAAAATTAACCTGAAAGGGATTGGTCGGGAACGCGTAGAAATGCCATATAGCCTCAGACTCCTCTGATTGCTGTAATGGGGTACCTAGCGTCAGTAACATGGCTGCTTCCAACTACCACGCGTGGACAGTGATTATGGCGTGTAAGTATTCTGCTGTGTTTCTGGGGCATATGCTGTCCAGATCTTAAAATCTCTGGTCAGTGAACCTAACTTGTAATCAAAATCTGCTTAGAGGATCCCTCTAAAATTTGCTTAGAGGGTTCCTTAAAGTGTGAAATTATTTGTACACAAGTGAGTTTTTTGTCTATTGCCTTCTCCAGCATGGGCTTTGTGCTAAAAATTGTCTCAGACAGAGTACATGTACTGAAGGGGGCCACATATCAAATAGAGTTTAGAATTCTGGGTAGCAATGTGTCTTTACCCAGAATCCTTAGCGGCAGTACAAGCAAAGGTTCTTTGGAAACTGGTCTAGCGACCCAAGGGTTTTGTTGACGATTCTATGTATGGAGTGTCCTATCACGGACTAAAGATCTCCATGGAAACAGTGACAGGTTCCCCTGTAGATATACAGGATAATATGGGTACTGCAACGTAAAAATAAATGTTATTTATAATTTTTTTTACTTATTTTTTTAATGCTTCACATATACTTAATTAGCCTAATATTTCCTGTAGAATTGTTAGCAATTTAATCTACTCGCAGAAATGTTTCTTGGTAAAAAAAAATATAAAAAAAAAAAAAATAATAATAATTTTTTTTTGGTTGCTTGAAGTTCTCTTTTGTCCTTTTATAACATTAAAAAGCAATCTGCCCATTTTCTGCATTGAAGACTGGCGTCTGTACTCGATTGCCGTCTTGTGTGTTTTAGGTTTTTTTTTGTTTGCCCACACACTGTTCCTGGAATCCAGCTTCCTGCAGGCCATTTGCTAATGATTTCCCACAATCCTTGTAGGCATTTCATGTCTCTCTCTCCCAACCCCCCCACCCCCCATTCCCAAACCTGCTATTCCAGTAATTTGACTCCTTCATGGTGTGCCTGAAATCCCTCTGAACAAACAGTTCACAGGAGATTATAATTTACATGTCCTTTAAGAGCTGAGGAAAAAAATGCTCAGTAATGCTTTGCTGCATTAATTTATATGGCATTAACCTTTTCTGCAGAAATTTACAATTTATGTAGGTATAATCAGTATTTAAGATCAGCACGCTAAGCGTTAACAGAAGCAGGAGGCGGAGAGGGCCCTTCCCTTCGAAGCCTTGCATGGCATGTTGGATCATTTAACCCTTACACTATCAGAAGGGGATCATACCTTTTGGTGGGCTAAGGAGGGAAACCTAGATTGTAAGCTCATGGGAGCAGGGCTCCCCTCACCCTCTTGTTTGCGCTCACATTAATTTGTGCCATTTGATTGCTGTCTTATACAGAGGTAACCTTTGTTGTTTTATCTACTGTAGATGGCAATGCCTGCCATGCCTAGTCACACCTCAACTTGATGTGTTGAGGTTTGTATTCCCTCCACAATATCTAGAGTGCCAAGGATAGCGTATATTTGTGTATTAAACATGCAAATCTTTTCTAAATATTGTAGTGCTCACATGGTACGGAGGGTGGCGTAAACCTTAAAGGGACACTCCAGGCAACATAACTTTATCAGAATTAAGTTGTTATGGTGTGAGAAGGCACTGGGCGCCGACTTATATCTAGGGGTTAAACCGCTAACAAACGGTTTAACCTCCAAAGCTGTCAGGCTGGCACCCATTTGCCCTGCCCCTACACCTTTGTTTGTTTGAGGATTTAAACCGGAAGCGTTTGGACGGGGCTTTCATTCACAAACGTTCCTTGGTCGTTTGAGAATTGCAGAATTGCTGTAAATGAGATCTCAAGAATCTCCCCACTCTATTGTGAATGTCTGCCGCATTGTACCTGGGTGGTGGCAACAGAACCAGTGCAGTACGTAAGCCCATTTGGTTTCTAAAACCTTTGTGGGTTAGTACATCTACGGCTATTGGCCAGATCAGCTGCGATTCCTTGGACACGCTTACATTTTTCACAGCTGATTGTCAGCAATAGGAAAGAGCTGCTGGGCAGTATGCGGCACTCGTGTGCTGCAAGAGTTAAATCATTAATTGAATTGAAAGCAGGTTGTTTTACGTGCCTTCCGATTAAACAGATTTTCTTCCAATAGGCTGCCCATCAGCTTTAATAAGTTATTTGTGCCTTAGAAAACATGGCAAACCTGTCAACTCCCTTTTCATTATTAAATTATACTGCCCTCCCAGGAATCAAAAATAAGTAAAAGCATAATATATATAGTGCATGCTTGTGTGTAAAATAATAGAATTATTCCTGGTACAAGAAACACTCCATCTTCCCCCACACACACTGTACAATTTACTAGCCACTGGAATCCAAGAGAGTCCGTGGCACACACCAGGAATACATTTCTGTGTGCCAGAACAAAATCATGACTCTCCAATGGCTAGTAGCTAGTTGGAATCTTGATCCGTGTGTGTATAGATATACAATGTATAGAAACGCATAGACATGATATAGAGGGCTAGTGCTCATGTAAAAGAGATTGTTTCCTGTTCACAGCTCAAATCCTTGGCATTTTGCTAATCACGCCTCTGCTTTTTATTGAGGTTCAAGTGAATTGCTGCTCCCAGATTGTCTGTGGGATAAGTACTCTGTCTCCTGTGCATAGTGAAAACACAGCTGGGGTGAAATGCGCAATTGTAGAGCAGGGTGTGGCCCTACATATACCCTAATTCATTATCATAAAATGCAATAAGCAGGTCTCTGACGCTCCCGTACAACCTAGACTGTGCCTTTTTAAACATGTGAGGGGGAGGGTAGCAGAGAGAGCTACGTGCAATTGTCGTCTCCTGGAGAGTGCAACTGATACAGCCATAACCACACAAAGAAGAGTGGTTGAGCACCTCCCCTGTTTATCTAATAAATTGTCTCTGTACCATTAAAATGCTCTATTTACATTTATGCCTTAATAGTCATGTATTTTTTTTCCGTGTTTTTTTTTTTTTATTATATATAATTTCGCCCTACTTTGTTAAGCAACAGTACTTAATTTTTTAGTGGGGTTGATGTGGGCCATTTATTTAATTGCATGTTAGGATAGAGCACTTCTGTTGTCAGTACCAACCGAACCCTTTCAACGAGGGCACGTGCCATTATAGTGAACGTCAAACGTTAACTTGGTTTTCTAACTACCTCCTGGCATTTTCTCAAATTCCATTTATTTTTTGTCCTTTGTCCCACTTAAAACAATTGTATTTCACTCTGTCAACAAAATGCCAGGTTGTTGACCCAAGGGGAGCTGGCACCCACGACCTTGATCCTCCAAACATGTAGAGATTATTGAAATCCTGGCGTGTTGAATTTCTGGACAGGCCTGCTGTTTATGGCGTAACTAGGAGATTATGTAAAGAGCTGGAGTGAAATCAAAACACAATATTTCCTCTTTGTTCATATTCTTACTTTTCTTTCTGATAGCTTCCTTTCCTCTGCAGGCCTAGCGATATCCACATCCTCTATATTGATATATGTAATTTATCCATCAGCTCCCAGTTCGGCTGAACGCCCCGGGCAGAAACGAAGATTCCCTAGTCCTCAGCATTCGTCCAATGGACACTCCCCTCAAGATTCATCAACGAGCCCAAGTAAAAAGAAAAAGAAACCGGGGCAGTTAAACAGCAGTAATAAAGACCAGGTAAATGTGATTTGTAATTGTATAAATTCATCCTTTTTGACTTCCTCTTCCTCAGTATCCTGCACAATTCACTGACAGCATTATGCATTTTTAAATATTTAATGGGTTAATGGGACATTGTAGAAACTATAATGCCTTCATCGTTTTGAAGTGATTATAGTGTCTGGAGTCCTCTGGCACTGTTTTATTATTCAACCTTAAACCATTTTTAATGTGTTAATACTAAATGAGAGTCCTCAGCAGTCCATCCCCTCTGTGCTGCTTGGCCCAACAAGGAAGCATTTGCCTGAGCAGCAATGATTGGATAAGTATGTAAGCTGACCTCTTCTAACCTATCCCATTATTGGTATGGCTAAAAGGAAGTGTATAATCTCTGCCTTAGCCACACCTCCAGTAGGGGCCAGATATGGTCGGCCAGAAACCATAATTTAGTTTTAAACTACTCGAAAAACACTACATGCAGAGGCAGCTTTAGGGGTCACCAGACACTATAACCAATTCAGAGCCATGAAATGGTTATTGGTTATAGTGCCAACAGTGTCTGTAAAAATCACATTAAATATAATGATGTTTTATATATAATTTGCTAATGCTGTTTCAAGACTAAATATAACACTTTTTAAAAAACAAAAATGTTTTAAATAAAGATAATGTATGGTTTATGGCTTAGCACCGGAGTAGATTTCTTTCTATATTTACACATCCCTTCTTTCTTAAACACCAACAGACCGGTCTCCAAAAATCACCCATGACTTGTGTTAGCCTTCTTTCCATGTGATGCACCATTTTCCTTTAAATTAATATTAAAGATTTAGCAAGTCACATTACAATCCAGTTCTGTCCAGGCACAGCCCTGGCACACAATGCAAATGAGGAGGAGAAATCGAAGCATTGTTTAATTTCTCCTCTGCTCTTCATGCTTTCACCATAATGACTGCCAGGTGCAATAATTGAGTTTACAATAGTAATTGACAGGCGTCCAAGATGGAAGCGCCCAGTTGCAGGATAAACAGTGTTGCATTTATACGTTTACTTTTATTGTTCACTCTTCACAAATAGATATTTGTTAAATGTAGGGGGTTAGTAAACATAATATTAAAAATCCTGCCAGCCTTATTTAAACGTTAACGGATCATGGAAAAAGGCAAAATGCATATGCTGAAGTTTTATACTAATGCATCTCTATGGAGAGCATTCGGGATCGTCATGCAGACCATGGAAACACCGAACATCAGTCCTGCAAAGATTGCTGGAATGTAACAGGAAGTACTTCTAGTGCTTGCCTGATTGACAGCCTATAGAGGACTACATAGGGACAAATGAAAACACTGCCTTCTCATGGACAAGACAATGTTTACAAATGAGAGACTGCACTGACCGTTTGTGCCTAAAACCCCTACATTAAGCTGCAGTGCTTCTGGTGTTTAGAGTGTCCATTTAAATGCTTGTCACAGTTTAGTTATGTGTTCCTGCATAAGCAGCCATACTGACTATTTAACATAGGTTTTTCATAATTAATCCTCCCTGTTAAAGGGACACTCTCTCAGTAAAATTGCCTGGGTGTAGTGCCCATGCTGTTTTAGCCCCGCAATGTAAAACAGGGTTAAATACACCTCTAGTGGTTGTTTACCTAACAGTCACTAGAGGTGCTTCCCTTTGAGAACCAAGTCACTCTTAATCCCATTCTGCTCATCGAAAGCATTTGGTTGGCGAAGCGCAGAGATTTGCCACACATGCGCACTAGCCTCTCAATTCTTTTGTACAGGGAAGCAATTGATTTGTAGAGATCATCAGCACTGACTTAATGTAAGTAAATCTTTTCTTTTAACCCTTGTGGGGGGAAGCAATAATCCAAATAGTAAGGAGAACATTATAGCATTAGGAATACAGGCTTGAATTCCTAATGCCATAGTGTTCCTTTACGTTAACCCTCCCCTTTGTTGGCAGCTAATTGGTTGTGGATGGAAGAGAGGAGAAGGGAACGTAGTTCAGGATGGTGATGTACTTTGTTGTGCAAGAAATGTAAATGCTTTGTGAAGAACTCCACTTAAAGACAGAAAAAAAGAACAAATTATTTGGCAGTTCACGTCCGTTTTAACTGCATTCTTTGGAAGGTCAAAAAGATAGCACTTCTTTCATCTTCCAAATAAATAAGAAATAGGTATGTGATTTAAAAGAAAAGGTTTTGATTTAAATCTTTTCCAGGCAGGATGTCATAATGTGTCTCTGGTAAAAGCTGCATTTTCTATGTCTTCAAACTTCAAATGATGTTTCTTCAGTGACTGATACAAATGTATCAGTTCAGCCAGAATTGCTTTATTGCTAAAGTTCATCTTGTATATGCAATATCTCTGTATATACAGGGAACTAAAAAACATTCACACGTAAATTTCACCAGCACCCCCACCCACCCCCCAAATAGTGTGATGGTTATGTAGTTTTGTCGTCTGTAAAATAGGTGGATGACAAGGTTGGCTCCAGGTAAGTTTAAAACCGTTAAAATGTATAGATTTAGACATATACTTACCCTAATACCAGTTCTGAAGGCTCCAGTTGACTGTATGTGTCAGCCCCTTCCCCTCCACCCCCCACCCCGCCCCCCCCCAAAAAAAAATAATCTATATGATGTACTAAAATATAGTATTGTGTGTGTGTGTATATATAATTCTGAAATGTAAATCTGTTGTATGGTATTTGTACAAGTTCTGGCCAAACTGTTACACTGGTTTTCCATTCTTATCATCCTACACACCATGGAATTCAAACAAAAGCAGATCACAAATATTAATAATATAGAATCATTTTAGGTTACTGTTGCCTCTTAAAGAGGAAGCAAAAAATAAACAAAAACTGGCTGATCGGTATTGTTCTCATACAAGTGCCACGATTCTAGCCCCCTCCATCTTATTCTCAGTCATAAAATGATTACAAAGAAACTAAACCGGAATGCATTAACTGACTCTAGTGTGTATTAGTACCTCCTAGTTTATTCTGGAGAGTGGATATGGGTGCACCATTAAAGTTTTGGGGTTATAACACCTCTTAATATATGTGTTTTATGTCTGGATCTTAGTCTGCAATCCAGAATAAATACGGTGTCACTAGGGCATGGTACCTCCTTTAATAATTAGGGCTTAGATGAAGGTCAGATTAATTCAGGAATACAGATAATACTAAGGGGTTTCCACGTTGTCTCTTACCACGGCACCTGTCGGCACTTTTAGGATGCAATATGTCGAATATACGTGCATAGCCTACTATGGGAATGTCTACAAGATGGACATTGAACTACAAAAACTTCTGGTGTGATTAAAAATGCAAGTGGAAAGCTTAGGTAAAGTCTGTTCATGCGTGCGGCATGCAGCAATCCATTATTCCAAAGGGGCCCGATGAGAACAAGTTGTTAATTTTTCTAATTGTGGACACCAGAAAATGAAAGCCAGCCTCTATGTGAAAAAAACAAAGGAAACATAGCCCTTGTTACAACGGTAAACCTGTAATCCCATCAGAAAAATGTAAACCCTTCTAAACCCGGCCAGACTTTCTGTGGCTGTCCAATCACAGATTTCTCAATGCAGCTCAATGATAAGTCTTTGCAAGACAGCTGCTCTGGGCAATTGCTGTCTCTTGAGCTTAGCTCAACTGAGCAAAACAGACCAGGAAGTGACAGAACCGGTTGTCTGATTGACAGCGATGGGGAAGTATCCAGGTTAAAAGTGCCAATTTCTATTAAAATCTGCAGTGTTTGTAAAATTTAAAAAAGAGGACCCTGTCTTCCAACAAGTAAAGCAATTCAGCAAACTGAAGTGCTTTAGAAGTCTAGAGTGTCCCTTTAAGAGGGTAGTAAAACCCATTGGGCATAGCAGAGCACTCTTTAAAGCACCATTTTTTAACTTGCAAGTTATATTCAGTAGTGTCTTGCTTTTCTGGGTGATGTAGGCCTTAAAATTGAAAACTGGAGTCTTTTATACCCATAGCAGTGTGTCGATTAATCAGCCTGCACATGAGCAGAATTCGTTTTTCTTTTAATGCCTAAAATGGAACGTTGAGATTTCTGGGGACACTCTCATTGGTTGAAAACTTTCTCACTGGTTGTTGTGCTTGCATTATTTTCAGCTTCATTCTTTTAATTTATGCAAAGATGTTTCTGTAGTCCCAGCCATGCATTGCACATAAAGTATGCTTACTGTATGTTTGGCTTTGCATATTGCACATTTATCTTCTTGCTTTTTTTGTTATTTACATAATTATGTATTATTATTTTTTTAACCGAAATTTGTTTTTCTTACCTACGTTGCAGTCAGAACTAAGGCATGGTCCGTTTTACTATATGAAGCAGCCACTCACCACAGATCCTGTTGATGTTGTACCCCAGGATGGCCGAAATGATTTCTATTGCTGGGTTTGCCATCGTGAAGGCCAAGTTCTGTGCTGTGAGCTCTGCCCAAGAGTTTATCACGCTAAGTGTCTGAAATTGACAGCTGAACCAGAGGGTGATTGGTTTTGCCCTGAGTGTGAGGTAAGACTCATCACCATAACTACTACAGCCTTATGCCAGGTGTACTCTGGCCTTGTTTCCTAGTAGTGGGGCAAACTATATCGGAAGAGTCCTATCAACCCTTGCCTGGTCTCCTTTATGGCTGGCTGTGAAGTGCTTTTGGCTTCTTCAGAGCTGCAAAGCCACTTACCGATACTGCCAGTCATTCATTGGCTAAGAGCATTAGCTGACCACAGTCAGCTAATAATTGCAATAGAAATATGCGCAGAACTTACATTAGTCAGCCCGGAATCCCAGTGATACTGCCTGAGGTAGTATTACACCTCAGGTAGGAGAGGGGTCAATGTCCTTAGTGGCAGTGTAGTGCCATAGTGAAATGCTGCACATACAGTCTCCAGGCACCATGACCACTTAAAATTGCTCAACTGGTCATAATGCTTGGAGTAATCCTGTAAAGATAAGATGAAGGACTGTTGCCTCATACTTTTTTTTTTTAATTAATTAATTTAAAAAAAAAAAAAAATTTTTAAATGCTGAGTAAGCAGATGGAAGTAGTGTTCTTATTAGAACATCAACTGATTATTAAAATTATTATTATTGCTATTTATATAGTGCCAGCTTATTTCACAGTGCTTTACAATATTGTGAACGGGGGGAGATTTATCAATAAATGAGACATTTACAAAATGTTACAGATACAATAGGTAGATGAGGACCCTGCTCAAATCAGCTTACAGTCTAGAGGAGGTGGGGTACAAATACACAACAGGGCAACAATGGGGGCAGCAACCTAACAAGGTTGGAATATAGCAGAACTGGAGGTGAGAGTGGTGTGTGGCCCTTTAGGAGAGAGCAAGTGACAAATATGTAACCTAGAAGTTACTCTTAAAGGCCATAAGTTTTTCTGAATAGATGGGTTTTGAGGGACTTCTTAAACGATTGACGACTTGGGGAGAGTCTGATGGGGGGTAGGCAGGCTGTTTCAAAGGAAAGGAGCCACTCGTGCGGAATTCAGCAAGCGCAAGTTAGCAATAAGGGTGCGAGCAGCGAACGTTTTAGTTTTTAAATATTGTTCACAGGTCACCTCTATATACATATAAATGGACATTGTGTGTGTGTTGGTTTTTTTTTTTTTTTTTTACCAGATTGTACAACTGTGAATTTAATTTGTACAGAAAGTTATTTTTAATTTTAACACGTTTTATAGATTTTAGACATATTCTTAAATCATCTATTTTGTACCAAAACAACAAGCAATGTTCACAAGACACAGATTGTAATTTGTTAATTCTTTGTAACCTTTATTTCCCCCTCCACCCGTATGGCTCATTCTTGTGCAGCATACACATTTTTTTATTTTTTTTATTTAAATAGTTCAGATAAGTTTTTAAATCTGGTTAACACTAATATGTGCAATGCTGTCTGTCCCGATCCTAGATTGAACTCAGTGGAGTTGTATTTATTAATGAAAAATATACACACGCAACTGATATATACACCTGGAAAACTGTAAGCAAGAGACCACTGAAGAAAAAGAAAAAAAACTAAATACAGTGACAAAATATTTTAACGTGCGCCAAAATGGCAACTCATTAAATTATGGGAAATAATTGCTGTGATGTTAAGTGGCCTGCTTATTGCAACAAAGTCTGTGTGAATGTTCTAAAATTAAAACGTGAAAAAATGGAATGTAGAAATAAGAGAGCATTGTGTTCTACAACACCTGCACTTTATCTCTTACAAATATTCACCCCATTTGTATGTTTTCTTACGTTGCAGTATTCCGAATTTATTTTATTGGTATATCTTTAACCAAAACCATTGCCCTCAATAAATTGTGCAGTATTACTAGTAGTATAGTAAACTTTAAGAATAGGGCCTACCTAATTTTACAGTTGAATAATGGTTGCCCCAAATAAATAATATGGTCCATGTTAAATGGTTAAGAAACCCTTGTGTAATTAATTTGTGTTAATTACATACTAGTTTTCATCTTTTATCTTGGAAGGAAGTGAGATTATCGGTTTTAGCATCCTCCTCACATACAGATTTCAGTTAGTTAAAGCTCCAGAACTTTTTCTTGCTGTTTTTAGTTCAAACCCCGGCTGACCATTTGCTAATTTATTTATTTTTTCATTTTCCCCTTCCTGTAGAAAATCACTGTTGCTGAATGCATAGAGACTCAGAGCAAGGCAATGACTATGTTAACTATTGAACAGCTGTCTTACCTGCTAAAATTTGCACTACAGAAGATGAAACAACCTGGGGTAGGTCTTCATAATTTTAATTTCATCTATGTTTTGTACCTTTATATCGAAGTGAACATCTTATAGCTACATTAAAGAACTGTCTCCAACCATATCTAATGGCGACATTTTGCTACGCTTATTAGATTAATTCTTCTGATATTTTTCTGGTATCCCCAAAATGGGACCTCGGAGAACAAACAAGCAGGACCTTGCCAATAAATCCAAGACTGTTGGAAGATATGGAACTCTATTTTTGCAGTACTCCTGGTTTTAACTGTATTTTATGCCTGCCAGATGGCTAGCAAATCGTCAATCAGAGAGCCAGGAATTACACCTCTTGGCTTCCAACACGCATAGTGTGTTGACATGGAGGGGCTTGTGGACGATGAATCCTGGGAGAGCACAATTGCCAGTGGAAAGACTGTCCTTGTCTCTGTGATGATGGGTCCATGAGTAGCTGTGTCCACCCAACATCAATAACCACAGAAATGAGCACATGTAGGCAATGACTCTTGGTAGCAGGAAGTAGAGACCTGTCTCTCTGACTGACTGGACTTGTAGACTGAGCTAAGAAACAGGGAAAAAAACAAAATGTTAAAAACTCTGCAAACAGTGTAGAATGTACGTGAATAATAAAAGTATCCATGTAGAATTTAAAAATCTGTATACATGCCATCAATAATCAAGGTATACAGTTACTGCATTTTTTTTTTTTTTTTTAATATAGAGACGTACTGCTCAATCATTTATCATAATGAAGGCTTCAGGCAATCAAGCATTTTAATGCCATTAATTGCGTGATCATTCCTAAGATATCCCTGATCACTCTCAGATCCTATCAACTTTGGGTTAGGATAAAAATGTTAAGTTTATAAAAATAAAATTTCGTAATCCTATTCTTATTTCACAGACAGAGCCATTCCAAAAGCCTGTGTCTTTGGAACAACACCCTGATTATGCAGAGTATATCTTCAATCCTATGGATCTTTCTACATTGGAAAAGGTTGGTATGTCCAGTGTGTTGTGTTACTAATTAATTTTTTTCTCTATTACACTTGTATTTTAATTTTTCATTTATTATATATCCTGTATATGAAAGAATAACATTGTAGACTGCCAATTAAACCTTTCGTAATGTTACGCGATGGCTTATTTACAGTATTTTTTACTAAAGCGCAGCTGACTTTGTCTATTTTGACCTTAAATTAAATTCATTTTGAATTTGCATTTTAGTGAGAAATCTGCAAGTATAGATCACACGATTTTACACAATTTCTAAATTAGATTTTTGTTATGGTCACATGGATGTTATTGTAGGAAATATTAATTTTATCTTGTTTTATTTGTTTAAAATGTCTGCAGAATGTAAAAAAGAAAATGTACGGCTGTACTGAAGCCTTCCTGGCTGATGCCAAATGGATTTTACATAATTGCATTATATACAATGGTGGTAAGTAGAATGTACCATTATTGTGTGCTTTTAAAGAGCTACCATATTTGATGAACGTAGATTTTAGTATTTGTCCATCTGGACTGAGCATCTTTTATCTGTTTTATATTTTTAGGAAATCACAAACTCACACAAATGGCGAAAATCATAATCAAGATTTGTGAACACGAGGTAAGGCACGTTTGGAGAGTTTAAAATTCCCATTAATGTCATTATCACAATGTGGTGAAGATCCATTTTTCCAAGCCCCTGTTCCCCCTTTCTGTAAGATAGCAATTGCGTGCTTGTGTTAGCAAACAGTCTGGTTAAGCCAGGCAGCTGGGTTCGCTATGATGGTTAAAAGTAACCCTACAAGTTATATGTAACAGTGTCCGATTGTTACTTTCATTTTGGCAAAATACCCACTGTTATTGTGTTGGCGCAGGACTCCAGCCTCATCTTATCCACCCCCTGAAAAAATAAATAGTGTAGGGCAAATATAGTGGGAATGTTGCAGTCCAGGGCATAACCAGGTGTGTGAAATTAATTTATGTCTCAGCCACTGCCAATATCTTTTTATCCATTCTTCCAGTGCTGATCGGCAAACTTTGTTGGTACTATGGATGTACCTGGGGTACGAGGTGATGTTTGAGTGCCAAGCTATCTTCTCCTTTGTGCTATGTATTCTAGACAAAGCTACAGTGCAGGGCTCACAACTTCCACTAGCCATTGGCAAGTTAAAATGTAGCCTTGCCTACCACATGCAAGAGGCAGGCAGACAACGATAAGGGTTCACAAGACACAGACCGTTAAATACAGTTATCACTGCCTGCAGACCTCAGAAGGGAGATCACACCACCTCTCCCCCCACCCCTCACAGTAAACGACACCTACCCTTAGCACATAAGACACCAACAAAGACTCCCATTAAGACTACTAGAACCAAACAGGCTAACACACTGGGATCTATAGAGCTATGCCTGTCTTATTGTTTATGCGAAAGGACCTGCGAGTCCACCGAAAAAGAACCACAAAAGCTCAAAAGTGACTTGTATGCCACTATAGTTTACACGGTAACACCGTATATCCCCCAAAAAAAACAAAAAACAGAAATTGTAAATGTTTGGACCTGCGTGTCCACACTGTTGGCTCACCTCATGAAAATCTTGAAAAACTCAAATAAAATATATATATTTTTAACAAATTTTTTTTTATTCCTGCCAAGTAGAAATTGACCCCTGGTGGGTATACTACGGCTTGCAGTGGCAAGAAGCTTTTTAAGGCCTGGCTAGTAGCATAGGACTACAAATTGTAAGTGAAATCTAAACATACAAAATTAAGCCCTGCGCTCAAACTCCCACTACTCTTGGGCTGCAGCAATGACTGTAGTACTATACAATAGCACTGGTTGGCAGCAGTGACTATAATACACATCAGCCCCAATACATAAAACAGGCGGCAAAATATGATGCCATTGCCTGCGACCACTGCTTAATCGGTTTTATAATCCCAGTCAAATTGACACCCCCCAAAACCTCTATGTTGATGTCATTAGTTGTATTTTATTTTTTTAACAAACAGATCATGCAACTGCCCACATGTGCACATAGGAACTATTACAAACCATCAGCCATGAGTGCTCTAAAACTTCCTTTTTCTGATGTGGCTACTTGCAGACACAAAGCTTAGCAGTTTGTTTCTCTGCAAGCTACAATCGACTGCGTTGTGTGATTCTTTGTGCGCGTCATACCTGGGTCATATTTTGGAAATTAATTGACGATACAACAGGCTGGGGTAAAAACCAAGTTGTAAGGTTTAGACATAAATAGCCAGCTCACCACAATTCTCTGATAAGTAAATAAAAAATAAATAAATACGTGAAGAGTTGTTGCTACCGTTGTATTAAGCTCAACTCAGAAAGCTGTTCTGTCTCTCCTGTTTGGGAATGGGGAATAGAACGTTGGAGCTCCTGCTTGCCACCTGCTGTTCTGATACAGGAATTGTTTTTACTCTTTACTGATAATCTACAGTTAGATGATTTGGCATTTTTTTTTGTGCTAAATTATAATTTTCATAGGTCATAATTTATTATTATATCTTCAAATTTGATACGGCTGATAACATTTTCTGCCTCGATTTTACCCTAAGCTATAGACCTTAAAATTAACTGTGTATATAGTATTCATGATTGCTAAATCTTTAGATTCTTTATAAAACATTAAAAAAAAAATTAAAAAAAAAAGCCAAAGTTCACATTTAAGTGGAAAACAAAGATAAGCTAATATGTGACTTTCGGAGTTTTATTCATTGGTGCTATTTCTAGTGACCATTTTAATTTAACTTTTTTAGAAAACAAAATAAAACTACACAAAAACTACTACTACTGATATGTTTACCTAATAATAACAATAATCATAATTTAGACATATTTGACTTGCATGCTTTCGGATTTCTCCCAACATTTCTCTTGTAGTATTGTTTTTTTACTATTTTTGACTCTTTTGTTCCTCTCTCATATCTCCTTTTATCTCCTGGGATCTTTTTTCATATTGGTGACTCCCCACATCTGCTCCTCAAATCTTCAGTTTGATATTTCCAACCTCCTCGGGGAATCACATTTCGATTTCAGGCATTGACCCCCATAGAACCCCTTTACGATTCCCATCAACAGGCACCCGATACTCTGTTTGAGATACAGCCCAACAAAACAGCACAATAAATACGTAATCACACACGGATTGAGAAACATAGAATGTTACAGTAGATAAGAGCCATTTGGCCTTTCTAGACTGCCTAATTTTCTTACTTACTTGCATTAGTCTCTTATATCTAGGACAGGACCACCAATGGTCTACTTGTGTTTTCAAAAGATGTTCCACAAAGCCTCTCTTTCACTGAGACTATTGTAATTCTATTATTTTATAACATTCCATAGGTAAGTGAGAGTTTTGGTATTTGAAACATTCAGATAATAAATTATTATTTCAGGTAGGAATGTTTGGATAATCTGTTATGCTTTCTCTTGTTATGATTAATTATTATTATTTTTAATTTTTTTTATAGATGAATGAAATCGAAGTATGTCCTGAATGTTATTTAGCTTCTTGCCAAAAAAGAGAGAACTGGTTTTGTGAGCCTTGTGTAAGTAGAAAATTACAAATCCAAATCCAAATCCAAAATGAGTTTTTTTTAGCCCAAAATCCTAGTGACTTTTAACCAATATGAACTGGTAAATGAGATGATTACATTATATTTCAATAAGGACCAACTATAGCCATGTCTTAAATCATTAAGGGTTAGCAAAGTAAAACCCAAAAAATCATATCTACCAGAAATACAACATTTTGTTCCGAACCAAATACACCAATAAGTACTTGACTTTAAATGCATTCTAATTTGGCATTACTCTAATAATTTACTTAAAGGACCACTCTAGGCACCCAGACCACTTCAGCTTAATGAAGTGGTCTGGGTGCCAGGTCCCTCTAGGATTAACCCTTTTTTTTTTTTTCTAAACATAGCAGTTTCAGAGAAACTGCTATGTTTATAAATGGGTTAATCCAGACTCTAAAGCCTCTAGTGGCTGTCTCATTGACAGCCGCTAGAGGCGTTTGCGTGCTTCTCACTGTGAAAATCACAGTGAGAAGACGCCAGCGTCCATAGGAAATCATTGTAAATGCTTTCCTATGAGACTGGCTGAATGCGCGCGCAGCTCCTGCCGCGCATGCGCATTCAGCCGAAGAGGAGGATCGGGGGCGGAGAGGAGGAGGAGATCTCCCCGCCCGGCACTGGAAAAAAGGTAAGATTTAACCCTTTCCTCTCCCCAGAGGCATCCTCAGGGGACTATAGTGCCAGGAAAATGAGTATGTCCTTTAACATTCCTTTAACGGAATTGGAAGTCAAATTCGCTACAAGTACATGCTCGCCCCTACATATGCAAATAATTAAACACATGTTCATTTTACTGTACACCTTGATGCACACACTCCTTAAAGCCTTAATCTAGGCACAATATCCAGCTCAGTTTAGTGGTTATGGTGCAATACACTTTGAATACTCTCACATGGGTTTTGCGTTGGCCTCTTTTGAGTTGTTGGCCAGCCTTGTCATCCAATCACTGCTGTCCTTATTGGATAGCATAGATATTGATAATGAATATGTGTATATTCTACATTAGCAGTGTATCTGGAAAGGGGGTAGGCTTTTGACTATACACCTGTCAAATTAAGGTCAAAATAACCATGTTGAGGTTTATAAGTCTACAATCAAGCCACCAACCTCACTCATTTTAAAATAAATTCCTAAAAATGTATGTTTAGGTTTTGAACTGTGATCTCTTATCTTTTTTTTCTCCTTAGAGCAATCCACACCCTTTGGTCTGGGCAAAATTAAAAGGATTTCCATTCTGGCCCGCAAAAGCCTTAAGAGATAAAGATGGACAGGTTGATGCACGCTTCTTTGGACAGCATGATAGGTAGGAATATTTCCAATGCCTGTCTTTCCTTTACAAAAATACATATATAATATTGTCTGGCTGGTTAATGTTAAGCACGTTAAGAAATGGCACCTGCAGCTTTTAAATATTTTTAAGAAATATGCATTTATTGTTGTAATATAAGAAATTTAAAATAAATTCTGTATAAACTATTTACACATTTCCATTGCACCAATATCAGCCGAGGGAGCTAATTATCCTTCGCACACGTTTTCATGAGCACTTCCTGTGTATAGGATGTGGTTGTAGACCAGCGCAGGAAGTGAGAGGTGCCAGTGAGAATTTCTTCCCCCTGACGTGTGAAAACCAACCTTTAGATACAAATTTACTAATATTTTACAAAGGTCTTTACATGTCTGTTAATGTTTGTTAGAAAATGCTTTTGAACATATATGTATTTTTTTTTTTTCATCTAGCTTTCATTTCCTTTGTGGTCAAACAAATCTTACACATTTACCTCCGAGTGATTCAATACTAAAACCAATGTAAAATATAAAATTCACACTGTAAAAGTTGTTACGTATATATAAAACGTGCTACAATGTTTTACATTGCTTTGAGAGGATAGGTGAGCCTAGAATCTTCTATCTTTAAATCTCCCACCCTATATTTCTTCTCAATCAAGGCTTGATAATTTTGGCAGGAATATATATCATCTGTTTGTTTGGACAGGCCTCCGAGATAGAAATCACTACTTCTCAAGGACTTCCCTGAAAGCTTTAATGACTACTGGGTAGGTGGTAATTCGGACAAATACCTAGAGAATTAATTCAAGATCTCAGATTAATGGAACCCACTTAATGCAAAATAAAATTTAGACTTTTGCTTTATGCACAACAAAAGTCATGTTACAATGAAATCTGATAGATAACTATTCCCGTCTTTTATCCTAAATTACATTTTTATTTTTTTTGTAGGCATATGTTTTTCATACTTATTTTGACAACTGCTTTCTGCTCTTGAGTCTTTTTCCTCGTAAAGATTTGAATGGTCTTTTGAAAGAAGATGAGTCACATTTTATACCTCATCTCCATTAATTTACGCTTAGAATCCTTTTGTGGTTTACTTTGTGTTTTTTTGGGGGGTCCTTTTGTAGTCGGGAAGATTTTATCAAGGCAAAATATTAGGATAACATAGATAACCGGAAGAACCGCAAGCTTGTTGTAACATGGGTATTCAAGAAAACTTGTTTGAGCGTAATTTGAAAAGCTATCATATAATAAGTGTAAACATAGTGTCAATACTCCACATGTTAAGGAGACAGGTATATTAATATGGATCATGGTGTTCCATCACTGATCCAGTATAGCGAATACGAGCAGGCTTAGCAAAGGTGAGCTATGTTGGGTTCACGTTTATTAGGTGCCTACCTATGGGGCTCTCAGAACAATGATCTAGTGCAGGGGCTCCCAACCCAGTCCTCAAGTACCCCCTACCAGTCTCGGGTTTAATGATTACCCTGTTGTGTCTAAAGTGTTTTGTTTTTTTCTTTTTCTAAAAACACCTTACACACAAATGGGTAACCTTTAAATCATGGACTGTTAGAGGGTACTTGAGGACTTGGGTTGGGAACCACTGATCTAGTGGATTGTGGAAACTTGGCCTAGAGGGCCTGTCTGTTTCAAGGAATAGCTGAGAGATGGTGCAGAATTGTCTTGGAGGAAGGTCCGTTAGATAACGAGAAATAGGAGGCTATAGGGGATATTAAGATCAGTGTAAGGTGTTAATGAAACTAGAAGGAAGGGGGCAGAGTAAAAAGGTAGAAAAATAAGTTATATTATACTTTAAATTATGGATGAATGCTCCCAATAAGGTAATGTAATGTTTAGGAAGGTATCATCAACATTAAAACCCAAATCTTTCAGGCTTAACTGTTTTCATAATTAAAACTAAATGTAAACTTGGCATTGAATAATTAACAAGACTTAGAAATACCTCTTGCTCGGCACACGAAGGATCGTAGTAACTTTCTTTTACGTCTTTTGCAGGGCCTGGGTTCCAATGAATAATTGCTACCTCATGTCCAAAGAAATCCCCTTTTCTGTGAAAAAGACTAAAAGTATCTTCAACAGTGCAATGCAAGAGATGGAGGTATATGTGGAGAACATTCGCAAAAGGTTTGGGGTGTTCAACTACGCACCTTTTCGAACACCTTATACACCAAACAACCAGTACCAAATGTTACTAGACACCGGGAATCCCAGTGCCGGGACAGCCAAGACTGATAAACAGGAGAAAATCAAACTAAACTTTGACATGACTGCCTCCCCGAAGATATTGATGAGTAAGCCTATGTTAAACAGTGGCGGTGGGCGGAGGATTTCTTTAACGGATATGCCACGCTCTCCAATGAGCACAAACTCATCTGTTCACACTGGGTCCGATGTAGAGCAGGATGTGGAAAAAAAAGCTGCTTCAAGTCACTTCAGTGCAAGCGAGGAGTCAATGGATTTTATTGATAAGAGTACAGGTTAGAAAATAAAAAATAAGAAAAAAAAATTGGGAAATTTAAAAGTTGAATTTTATGGGTTGAGTGTTTGGTTCGTTACATAAATTCTCCTGGTACTTGGAGACACATGAATCAAGAACTAATGCTATGATGCATACCTCTCCCTGTTAGTTCTTAAATTAATATATGTAGGGGCCTACATTAAGATTCCGGGCACGCAATTCAAAATAAATTCGCAAAAGCGCAAAATGATTGTGAGGCTGTAGGGAAATTAAGATAAAGCTTACAAGCTGTAGTTTTAGACTTGTAAAATAACCAGTTTGAGAGAGTTTTTATTTATTTATAGCAATGCACTAAGGCTAAGAATTACACCAAAAAATAATAATAATAATAAAAAACATTTCATTACTTTTTACATAATATTGGCAAAGGTTTTCGTTTTGGGAGCATGCGGAAAATTGCTACATGGAATATCTTGATGTATATAAATATTTTTTTTTAATCAATGGTCCTGCAGCCTCTCCAGTATCGACAAAGACTGCCCCTGGTGGAAGTTTATCAGACAGCCCCAAGCCATTCTCTCCACAATCAACTCCAGTATCTTCAAAGCAAGACCGGACCTCTACCACCGGCAGCATTCTTAATCTGAATTTGGGTCAGTGTTTTGGGAAAATTATAAAATATTAACATTGTTCTCCTTTTGTTAAGTTGATTTATCAGACATTTGCACCATGTCCGCTTGGTTTTGGAATTCTCAAAGTATTATGGAGTGGAAAAAAAAAGTTCTGTTAATGGATTAAAATCACTGCGTTCTATCTAGTATTGCAATTTTTATTTTATTTTGGATGTTGAAAATATGCATTGTTGCATCAGATTCAATTTGTCCATATGCCAAGCCATACTGAAACCTTCATATTTTATTACTTGCTCTTCCTGATAACTGTATGAAGATTCCAAAAGTTTTGTAATTTTTTTTTATATTGCATCTATATAATACGTACATATTTAAGTTTTTAATCGTCTCCTAATTAATAGAGTTCCCTGAGTTTCCATTGTATCTGATAACAACTAGAGATATACATCCTTAGAAGATCTTGAATTTCTCTATCAAACATGTGTGTATCTATAGTTTATTCATATTGTGTCACAATTTAAAGTGTTGGATTGAAATCATGATCTCCACTGTTACCAAAGCCTGCATATGTAAAAGTTGATTGATGGCAGAACTCAACCCAATGGCCAAGTTACTTCTTGTAGTGAGAATTCTCTTACTGCGTGATACTTTTTATTTTTAAACTGGACACATTTAAAAAACAAAGCATGTAAGATGATGTAAAGGGTTACTTTAACCAAAAAATAGTGTTTTCATGGTTAAAGTAACTTTTTTTTTTTAAATTCTTTATTTTTGTTGTGCATAATAGTAACATACCGCTCTGGTGCGCCACAACAGCGACATCAGGATAAGTTTAGAAAACATTTGCTATACAGGTTGTGACATATGTTAGTCAGGCACATTTTTAAGTTATTAGGATTAGTGTTTCAACAGTGTAGATTCTCGCTAGAGTAATTGTAAAACATCAATAGTTAAACTCTGTGTGTCAGGGAATGTGGACTAGGGTTAGGTAAGCATACAGATACTGAACCTGACTCTATTTGCCAGTCAATGCCACATTTTCTTTGGATATTGCTTTAAAGAAGAATTCGCTAGACACCAGAAATGAACAAAGAAAGTCAGCTGAGAGCAGATAGCTATTACCCTCCACCCTGACTAGCTATGCTAGACAGATTAAAAATGTAACTAAATGAGCTGAGAGTGCTACAGTGCTACGGCTAAATAAATTGACGCTGGGACTTTCTGTCAATCATTCATTCAACTTAGCTAGTCTGCTTCAGGCATATGCTGGCAATTGGGTATCATAAGGGTTTAGCGTCCATGTTCTCAGTAGATACTTGGTGCTTATTGTCTACACAGCGGTAGGTGAGAAGGGATTCCCAGGGTGCTGGAGCGGTGTGCCCGCCATTGGACATGAATGTGAGTGCTTCAGCCTATACCCACAGGAGGGAAGTCTCTCTTGGTGTCTGGATGCGCCCTGTCTTTGGTGCTTCTGTGGTGGGAGTCTGCTCTTGTAGTGACCTGTAGGATGTGCCGCCGCTTGATTGCTTGGTGTACAGCGCTGGTAGTGATGAGCTGGGTCGTGCTGCGCTTGATGCAGAGTTTCAGGTGAGGTGGGGTGCTTGCGTGAGAGGCTTGGTAGGCTATTCCACTCATGTGTATTTGGGAGTGGGAGTATCGTGGTACCTTTTCCCGCCGTGGGGATTGCAGATATCTGCGTCGCCGTATGGCTGTCCTGGGAGCTTGAGGCAGGCATCTGTAGTAGCGGCGTCTCGTTGCGGGTCGGACCCATGATGCCACAGTTTTCACCGCCAGCTGGAGGGTCATTCCGCCGCTGTGCAGTGTGGCCCAGAAGCTTGCGCAGATCTGGTCTAAGGCCCCCAGGAGGTATGTGGGTGGCTGGGCGCAGGTACTCTGCTCGTTAGGTCCGCGCTGGGCGGCCATTTTGGTTGTGTCCTGGTAGTTTGGTGCCCTTGTCTGCTTGTGTGGTCTGTTCAGCTGCCCTCCGTGCCAGTCCAAGTGTCCAGCGTGGACCAGGATGTCCCCCACCGGTCTGGGGGAGGAGGGGTTAGGAGATGCGAGGTCTCTGAAGGGTTCCGGTGTCGGGGAGAGCGGCCGCCTCTCCCCGGCCCTAATCCCAGTAGGCCGCACTTGGTTTCCCGCTCTCGGAGCTCCGACAGGCTCCGGGGTGGTCCTGATCAGGTCCGTGGGACACCCCCGACGTGGGTGGTGTACCCTCGGTGGTTTTCTGGCAGATTTGCCGTCGCTTTTACCCCAGTTTCTGCCCGCCAGGCAGGAGCTCGTGCTTTGCGTGTCCGTACGGCTTGGCGGTAGGCTCCGCCCCCAAAGTAACTTTTTGTGATGGTTTGCTTCCATGCCCCAAACACAAAATAAATAAATGAAAAAGTCTTAAACTTGCCTTGTTTCCATCTCCAATGCCAAGTTCTTCCCTCAGTTCGGTCATCTTTGGCTGGCTTCACTCCCCTTGCTGGAGGATGATCAGGGATGACGGACTGAGGGGAGGGCAAGGGTGGCACTGGTGGGAGGAGAACATGCCACCATTGACTGTAAGAAACTGATTTTGCAGAGATTTGATAGCTTGTTCCAAGCTTTCTAATGACCCCCCATGACACTGTCGGATGTTGAGTTCGTCCTCTGGGAGGGGGGGGGAGGGGGCTTAGCCTCCATATGTGCAGTGTTGAGAGTGAAACGCTGCTGCACATACAGACTCCATGCACCAGGACTACATTAATGAAATGGTCCTTAGAGTACAAAAAAATTTAAAAATAAAATATTCCACAAAAACATGGCATTACATCTTTTTTTTCCATTACTTCTGCTTGTGCTACATGCTAGCCAATGCATTTCCATATGTACTATAGGAATTAGTTTGCTTTGAATCAGTAAAATTAAAGAATGTTCAGAGACGCCTGGGCATCTGCTCTGACATGATTTATGCTCACTTGGACATTTGTTCAAAATTGCTGTATAGTCATATAGCACTGCAGGGATAAATGCAATTTAGGACATGTCCAGACAGCCTGGGCATTACGTGTAAATAAAATGTAAAAAAAAAAAATTAAATCTACTGAGAAATTTGAAAACTAAATGCATGCAATCTTGGAGTTAACTATTGGGTTATGCAATAATTTTCTTATTGAGAGAGTCACTTTAATGTATCTCATGTTTTGTTTGAGATACCTAAGGTGAATGTGGAGACTAACCCAGCCATGCATATTTTCTCACATTGTAACTAATACTATGAGGTTTGTACTAGGATTAGTGTGATTTTAATAAAGTTTGCACTTTGTCTTTTCAGACCGAAGCAAAGCAGAAATGGATTTGAAAGAGCTGAGCGAATCTGTTCTCCAACAGTCGACTCCCACTTCACTTATATCTCCAAAGAGGCAAATCCGTAGCCGGTTCCAACTTAATCTCGATAAAACGATAGAAAGCTGCAAAGCTCAGTTAGGTATGAATCATCAAATTATTCCTCTAGCGGGAGTATAACTATTTTTCAATTTACGAAAAAAACTATATTTGCTTATTTTTTGGGGAAGCAATACTCCAAGCGGGAGTACCGGGAGTGCTGTGGGACTGTCCCAGTTTAATTTGACAAAGTGTTCTAGTACAGTTTGACAACTTACCTGGCCCCATAGACACCGGGGGTCTCATAAACAGAGTAAAAAGTATCCAAGCTTCCTAAAACTGCTATAGATAAAACTTGTAAAAATATATTAAGAACTGGGAATCATAAAAAGTAATTTTAGTGGAGGTGGGGCAGAGCGGTCGCAGGATAACTCAGCTCCTGCAAAAGACAACTATATAAAGCCTATAAATTATGATTTTAAGCGCCCACCTCACCCATGACTGCGACCCTCAATGGATAAGGGCTACCGGAACTGGGGAGAGGCTTACTCACTGAGTTTAAGTCCCCCGGAGGGGAGACCTCTACAGCAACAGGCGGGACCTTTCCTGGCGGTGAGTGGAGTGGACGGCCGTCGCTCCACTATCCCGCCTAACGGAACCCGACAGACAAGCTACACATATGAGGACCCGGTCCCCCCCCCCTTCTGGACCCGGTGGCCCTGACCGTGACTCCGCAGCTGAGGCATGTGTGCAAACAGCAAGGGAAAGACCTTCTACCTCCTCGCTTTCAACTAAAGCGGCTCCTTCCTCCCGATCCAGCCACTTGAGCCAGCATTAGGAGGCACGGGCGACTCGAACAACCTCGAGAGAAGCACCACAGGAGGGGGCGCGGGAGACTGCTGCGGCAGAGGGCCCCACTTTATGGAGCACTGCAGGCTCGCTTCTTACCCCGCTCGTGGCCGCAAGCTCTCGGAGAATCAGGGAGGCTACCAGACTTGCCTATTTTTACACCTACCGCACGCTGTTCCCTCGGCCGACGGTGCTTCGCCTTCTTGGGAGACTGTCCCCAGTCACCCCCTTCCTCAGTCACTCCCTTCCACTGTCACCAGCCACCCCCCCCCCTCAATCACACTCTCCAGTCACCCCCTCCCTCAGTCACCAGTCATCCCCTCCCTCAGTCACCAGTCACCCCCTCCCTCAGTCACCAGTCAACCCTCACTCTGCCACCAGTCGCCCCCTCCCTCCCTCACTCTGCCACCAGTCACCCCCTTCCTCACTGCCACCCCCTCACTCTGCCACATGTCACCCCCTCCTTCCCTCACTCTGCCACCTGTCACTCCCTCTCTTCCATGCTCTGTCACTCCCTCCCACGCTCTGTCACCTGTCACCCCCTCCCACACTCCGCCAACCCCTCTCTCTGCCATCCCTATCCCACCCCACACTATGTGCAATACACACAGTATATCCCTGGCCCACCCTGCACTATGTACCTTACTCACTTTACATAACCTACAAACTACATCCCTGTCCCACACCACACCGTGTTCCCTACACACACTACATAACCTAAACACATCATTTGGGGAAAAAAGTCATTTTCGGTTTCGGTTTTCGGCCAAGGGCATCTCACTCAACATTACATTCAGTCTTCAGTAGAGGCTCTTTCCTGAATTCTGTAAATCTCTTTACTGCCCGACATCCAGCTCAGTATAGATAGGATGGGGTTAGTATCCTCCTGTTGTCCTTTCCTTCCAATCGTCTATATAGTGCATTATGGCAAATCCCTATGAACATTTAAATAACAGATTTGCGGTACCGTTGCAATTGCCAATAAAATTTAAGCTCACTTGCCTAATCAAGTAAAAACTCTTAGGTGAGTTCATGAATTCCTTGATGACTTCCCTACCATTACCAGTTTAGTGCTCAGCAATCAGATCCATAAAGTTTGGGAGCAAGTCAAACAATAATTAAAAGTAAATTGCCTTTTATTCAACTTAGACAACCTCTGAGTCCAGAACCAAATCCTTTTGCCAAAGATTCTAGTTTTGGCATGTGACTCAGTTGGTCTAGGAAATGTAGAATAGAAGTTGTGCCTCGCTTAATAACTTATTTCAAATTTCAGGGATCAATGAAATTTCGGAGGACGTGTACACAGCCGTAGAACACAGTGACTCGGAGGAATCTGAGAAAACGGATACTAGTGACAGTGAGTTCGCAAGTGACGAGGATCAGAAGCCAAAGAATGACTTGGGGGAGGAAGGGAGAAAAACAAGTGTCAAAGTCGAAAAAGACACCCCTCCTGCATCCTTGGCGTCCTCGGTAAAAAAGAAGCCGAAGACACCAGGGGCAGTTGATGTGAAGGAAGAACCTAAAAGTACGACAACAGAAAAAACAAGTCTGCCAGCCAAAGAGAAAGCAAGCACTGACACCGACAAGGATGTGTTGGAAAAAAGCAAAACATTATCAAATTCCTCGAAAGAAAAGCTAAAGGGAAAAGACGAGACGGATTCCCCGACCGTGCGTCTTGGTTTGGATTCTGACTCTGAAAACGAACTTGTTATTGATTTAGGAGAAGATCACGCTGGGCGAGAGGGACGCAAAACGAAGAAAGATCTAAAGGAAACACCAGCCAAGAGTCAAGAGTCAAGTAAGTATTTTATATTTTCTTTCAATGTTTTGTGACTAATTTTTAATTTTTTTTTATTTGGTGAGCACTTTTTTTAGTGTGTAAGTAAGCAAATGATGAAATATTCATCTTTGATTAAATGCACAGGTAAAGTTACTGCTGCATTGAATGCCAGCGGCCAGTCAACGCCAGAGACTCCTATCCTGACTCGATCTGCAGCGCAGTCTACTCCCGCTGTTGGAGTAACGGTAACTACTAGTGCCATAGCAGCTCAGGCCACCCCAGCTGCAGCCACGGGCAGCCCGGTTAAGAAGCAGAGGCCTCTTCTACCCAAGGAGACTGTTCCCACCGTACAGAGAGTGGTGTGGAATTCCTCGAGTAAATTTCAGACTTCGTCGCAAAAATGGCACATGCAGAAAGTGCAGCGGCAACAGCAGCAGCAACAGCCTCCGACCTCCACTCCATCACAGTCTCCTCAAGGAACACGATATCAGACACGGCAGGCTGTTAAAGGTACCTTCTCCACTTACTATGAAAGCCAAAGAGAGGTGTATATGTGGACAGGGTTCTGTTTTTGTTTTGTTTTTTCCTTGTATACGATTTTGCGTCTACACTTGCTTGTGGGTATTCCTATAGTTTGCAAAAATCTAAACTTAAGTGAGTAGATTACGGCCATCATTTATTACTCGATGAAATGTCTGATTTCTTGCCAACTGTGAAAGTTGCTTTTTTTTTTTTTTTTTTTGAAGGATGGTAAACAAGTTGACGTTTAGCAGATAATTATGGGAAATGTGTTCAACATCAGTTGAAATACCAAAGTTAAGACAGATCTGTTGTAGCCTATGATGTGAAGCGTGTGTATCTAATGATCCTTCTCCATTTGTTCCAGCGGTACAACAGAAAGAAGTCACACAAACTACTACGACATCGACCATAACGCTGGTGACCAGCGCGCCTCCTATGGCTGTAGTCACCAGCCCAGCAAATGCCTTAACCACTTCAATAAATACAGACCTGCCCATTGCAACTGCGTCTGCTGATGTTGCTGCCGATATTGCTAAATACACAAGCAAAGTAAGTTTGTAATGCTAGGTTGCTGCTTCTTAATGCAGAACAAGATATCCTTGTCGAGATGAACTAACGTTTATTTAAAAATTATTAAAGCCAAGACATTACTTCTCACGTTTTTTAATGGAATCCAAGTAATCCTATATACATTATATATTTTCTTTTTAAAGAATGTCTCTAATTGTAGTCTGCCACTCAGTGTACAAGCTCCCTGTATAATGTGTCCCTCTAAATATAGTGTCTGTGTTGTTTTCCTCTGTATACGTGTTTCTCACTGTAATGTGTCCATCAGTATATTGTTCCTGTGTCATTCCGTATATTGCTGCTTAGTTAACGTTGTAACAAGCATTCCACAGGAATACATTGTCAAGTGCTAGATGTTTGGACAGTCCTGGTATTTGCGGTCCCATGTTCTGCATGTTAACTTCTCAGATGTTTATCACATTTGCTATCCAGTGTTGATTTAGAAATGTCTACCGCACTATATATCTTAATTCTATGGTTTCTCTAAAGATGCCATTAATATTTTTTTATTTTTTATTTTTTTCCTTTCCCCTTTAAATAGATGATGGATGCCATTAAAGGGACGATGACTGAAATATACAACGACCTGTCCAAAAACTCTACTGGTAGCACTATAGCAGAGGTATGTCAGTTATTCTACAACTGCCTTCAAATATTTATATTTACAAATTAATGCAAAGTATGTCAAATAAAATGTCCCAACACGAACAGCTGTCAGAACAAAGTTGCAATTTGTTGTTTTTTTGGGGTTTTTTGTTCGGTCGCCGCTAAAGTTGAACAAATACTATAACTCCACTTTGGGACAATATATAATATTGTCTAAGGTGCTCTGCCAGCAATAGTGAAAAAAAAAGCTACATTGTTCCATGTTAGCATTTTTCTTTTTATGTAGATTCGACGTTTACGGATCGAAATTGACAAACTACAGTGGTTGCATCAACAGGAGCTCTCCGAGATGAAACATAACTTGGGTAAGAAAATTCACTTTGCAGAATCTGTCTGTTCACTGATCTGGTTAGTCCGTATTTGCTGTATGTCAGTGTTTATTTTGCAAGGTCCTTATTTGATGTGTGCTATGCCAACGGTGATCTAACTGGCCAAGATCAATGAACGCTTCTCTTATTGATACAGAGCTTACCATGGCTGAGATGAGGCAGAGCCTGGAGCAGGAACGGGACAGGCTGATAGCCGAAGTAAAGAAGCAGACAGAACTCGAAAAACAACAAGCGGTCGATGAGACAAAGAAGAAACAGTGGTGTGCCAACTGCAAAAAAGAAGCCATCTTTTACTGCTGCTGGAACACCAGCTACTGTGACTACCCATGCCAGCAAGCCCACTGGCCGGAACACATGAAGTCTTGCACACAATCAGGTATATACACCGAGGAATTAGTTATATAGAGTGACTGCCAATCACTTGGATGAACTGTGATGAAGCATGGCCACAGTTGAATGAGGTGGCTCCATGTATTTTTTTGAGTGTAAATTGGGAGGAGTGAAGTACATAACACTTACCACTTTTTATATATTTTTGCTCACTGTATGCGTAGAAACTTGGCCTGTTTGAAAATGTACCGTGGCATGGCCCATCAGATGAATGATTGTTTTTTTCCCAATCATCTTGTTTCTGTCATTGTATTACAATGGGTGCCTACATTAAAGGAACACTCCAAGCTCTATATTCACGACAGTCTGCTGCAGTTTTTACGATGCTTGGAGTACCCTGGCACCCTTTCAGTGTAAGTAGTCAGACCAGTTAGTTGCTGCTTGGTATCTTACCTGGAGACCTTTGGGCACACACCACCTTCATATGGAAGCTCCATCACTGATCCTAGCATGGCTGTGCAGTGAGCTGGCCCTGCCCTGCAGTACTTAGACCAGTGGAGCTCACAGAAGCTCCACGAAGGAACGTCCATCTGAATAGGTGGTGGCAGTGCCCAGCAGAACCCAGGCAAGTTGTCAAACTGTTCTTAAAACACTTTCACTACTTACAATGGGAGGATGGCAGGACACGTCTGACGGCATTACTATTATTGAATAAAAATGATAATTTCAGAAAGTAAATGTTCATACCTTAAATGGAAATAGTATTCTTTCACCATATTCCATTTCAAAACATGCACTAATGGAGTTTGGCTTTTTCTCAAGAACAAAGATCCCAAGACACATTCATTTGCATTTATTTTATTTTATCACCACTAGGTGGTGCTGGGTAGGCTTCAACCTCATTGACTGCCTTACAAAGTTAGAATGCACAACTTTTTGTCAACAGCACAATTTATCTCCTGTTTTTCAGTAATATCAATACAACTAAGACGTTTCCATTTTCACTGCTGATATGGACATTGTATTTGTGTGCAGTTAGCCTGATACATTTGTGACCTGTGAATTATTTATTTAATCACATTTGCAGCCACAGCGACACAGCAAGAAGCTGAGCCAGAACTTAGCGCAGACAAATCGGCACAGCCTTCAGCGGGCGCACAGCCACAACCAACAGAGGCTGCCACAACACCAAAAGAAAAGGAGAGTGCAGCTGACAAAAGCAAAGAGAGTGTCACTGTACGTATCGCGGGTCGATAGATTTTCCAAATTCAAAGTGAGTGAAGTCAGGTGTGTGTCTGTGTGTCTGTCTGTCTGCAGGTGGATGGAGACCCTTGCTTGCAACCCATCTCTGAAATGCTTCACTTTTTTCTTTTACAATTAACCCCTTAAGGACACAACTTCTGGAATAAAAGGGAATCATGATGGAATATTTCCGTCATGTGTCCTTAAGGGGTTAATCATTCATGCAGCATTTCTAGGACAGAGAACATGGTTTGTTTGTTTTTCTTCTTAACTTTCTTCACATGTTCTAGAACTTTGGACAAACTGTTTTCTTTAAATGCATCTTGATTCTTCCTCTCCAATACTTTATTTAAAGTCCTATTTACCTTTTTTTTTTTTTTTTTATAAAACAAAAGTGAAATGTAAAGATCAGTGTAGTTTTATATAAAACAAAGTAAAAAATAAAATAAAACCCTTAGGAACTGTGAAATATAACATCCGAACAAATTAAAGCCAGAACAACCAGAATAGCAAACACTCTGGCAATTAATGCAGGTTTTCTATTATACACTCTGAAAAGTAAATCTTCCGTTTTCTTGACATGTAATAATTACAAAAATAATGCAGATCTGTTCACCTGCTACACAAATACTTGCTGAAGTCCTGTAGCATAATTTGTTGCAGAAATGAAACAAGTGCTACTTGTTGGTGAAGTCTTAATTTTACCATCAGAGTGGAAAATGTAACAACATTTTAACCCTCTGTGGGATTCGTCATGACGAGGCTGAATAAAATGCATCGATCTGTCCCTCATTGTAGAGTTAGACAGATCGAGGCCTTGAGATAAGTCGTAAGTCTAAAACATATCTAATTTTTCTTTCCTGGAGGAATTGAGCCTTTTCTCTCATCATAGTCCTTAACAAAAACAGTAAACTGTATAGTTAACATAAAAATAAATTCACAGTTCTAATTTACCTAACATTTTTTTTAAAATGTGATTTGTTTTCTCAAAGTTTTAGAGGATAATAAAAACCTTGAATGAACATCACAATCTCAAATTTGATTGTTCTGTATTATAATACCCCCTCTTAAAAAAACAAAACAAAACAAAAAAAACTACTAAATCAATTAAAAGATCATTTGGACGTATCACAATTTTATTTTTGTAAATAGACCTACAGCAACACAACATGATTCACATGCCCATAGATGTACCCTGTTTATTTAAGAGAGTGCATTAATAAAATATTTTAGGTGACTTTGACTTATGGGATTGGGTAAGTAAGTGTTTTAGAATAATTATTTTATACACAAATAAACATTTAGCTTGATCTAAACCCACATGATATCAGGTTAATTGCTTTGCAGCTCTGTGATACACTCACCACACATTACTGTGAGTTTTAGTGATACTTACCAAATATTGAGAGTTTTATTGATGTGGAACTCTGTGATACTCATATATATATACCACACACATTCATACAAATCTAACATTCTGTGCTCTTGGAAAACAAAAATGCACAGGTTAGGAAAGAGGGACAGGGGCGTTGGGTTCCCAAGGAGAGACATTCCTATCAAAAGAGGATCACATGAAAGTATGTGTGGCCTATTGTCTTCGACAGCTGTCACTTTCCACATGGTAATGTAGTAGCTTCCCTGTGCTGTCTCTGCAGATAGCAACAGGTCTGACAAGCAGCCAGCCAATTAAACTGGTCCAAGTGCCGCAGACCACCACCTATATCCCAACTACTCAACCCACAATTGTAAGTACCACCATCGTCATTAGTCTGCCATTAATGTTGCTGGCATTCGAGTAGTGTAGTATTTCAGTGTCTCTTTACCTGTGTTGCTTCTGCAATATGATTTCACAGCCCCTTGATCCCGTCCCAATCTCGCACTGCTGTTTGAAAGCTTTGCTGTGTTCTTTATAATTTTTATTTTTTTTTACTTTCCCTTTAAGTTTAATTTATTCGCTTCTCATTTCATTATTGGCCGCAGCATGAAATTAACCATGACTTTTCCCTCCCAGGTTATATTGCACCGACATTTCGCTTGCACCTGTATGTAATAGAATTGTGCGGTACAAATCTAATGTATATAGTAGTGTGTTTTCTTGTTATTGTTTTTGGGGGAGAAGGGGGAAGTGGGAGTGGACATGTGCCTGTGTAAGACTAGGTGCTGTGGGGCGGGGAGGGGGGTACAATCTCACCCTACATCCCCAGTTTTTACCAAGTGAACATATGAGTTCTAGAGATGTCGCGAACCGTTCGCGAACGTCCCGCGAACGGCTCGCCGCGGTAGCTCCGGTCAGTTGACACATCCCGGCCAATCTCCAGCAGACCCTCCCTCCCAGATCCTCCCACCTCCTGGACAGCATCCATGTTGAAGGCAGCTTCAACATGGATGCTGTCCAGGAGGTGGGAGGGTCTGGGAGGGAGGGTCTGCTGGAGATTGGCCGGGATGTGTCAGCTGACCGGAGCTTGCCGCGAACGGTTCGTGGCGAGCCGTTTGCGGGACGTTCGCGAACTGTTCGCGACATCTCTAAGTCCCTCTCCATATTTCTGGTGGCAGTGGTGGGATCCCCACACTTTCCACATTTTTTCAAATTAAAAGTTTATTCCCTAAACATCAGATTATAGTAAATTGTAAACTGAATTAAGAAATATAGTCAAAACGTGCTGATTTGGAAAAATTCTTCAACTCCTCATTAGTCACAGCCAGCCTGTTGTATTATATTATATAATTTAGTATTTATTGAGTCAATCCTTCAGTGTATTCTCTGCACATGCATTATTAATATCACTAGTATAATATTCATTTGGCAAACATTTCTTTCCTGTAGCATAGAGTGTTCTCTGCGACATTTAATATATTTTTTTCAGAAATGTGTAAGTTACACCGATAAAAATATTTACTGAGCAGAAACAAATTGTATCTGGCATGGCAGAAAATAGGGCTAGGCTTTATTATTATTATTAATAATATATTTATATAGCGCCAACAAAGTCCCTAGCGCTTTACAGTGGGTACTTTACAAAAAAAATAAACAAGTTAAATATATATATTTTGTGATAAATTTTATTAAGATTTTATTGAGGAAAGCACATAACCTATGCAATCAATAACTTTTATAGATTAATGTTGGGGTGCCATTGTCAGGTATAAGGAAAGAAAATGCAAGTTCTATTTAGAGGATAAAAGTAGATATAGAATGAGATGCTCAAAAAATAAAAGGATCCAGCACTAACCCCCTAGTCGTCTTTATCTCTTCTTTCCCATTCTGTATCTTATGCTGCATTCCATGATCGGTACCAAGTGTAGAAGCAGAATGTGATTCACGTTCCTTTTTTTTTTTTTTACCACAATCTACATTGTCAGCTCTCTCTTAAAGGGACACTAGTCACCAGAACAACTGCAGCTTATTGTATTTGTTCTAGTGAATAAAATCGCTCCCTTTAAGCTTTTTGCTTTTTGCAGTAAACATTGTCTTTTCAGAGAAAACGCAGTGTTTACATTACAGCCTAGGGATACCTCCACTGCTCACTCCTCAGATGACTGCTAGACATGCTTCCCGTGGCACTGCTGCACACTGTGCAGTACTGCCATTCAGTGTCTCCAACCCCTGCATGGAGACATTGAACTTTCCTCATAGAGATGTATTGATTAAATGCATCTCTATGAGGAGATGCTGAATTGCCAGGGCTGTGTTTGGCTTGTGTTGGCTCTGATCATGATCTGCCTTCCTGACAGTCTCAGCCAATCCTATGGAAAAGCATTGTGATTTCTCAGAACAACACTTTTGATGATGATGATGATGTCAGGTATGAAGGCAGATCAGTGGCAGGGACAGCAGCTGCAGACTAGAATACAAGTAAGATTTTACTATACTTAGGGGGAGGGGGGACTTGATGGTGGTTTTAGCACTATAGGGTCAGGAATGCATGTTTGTGTTCCTTTAAGTACAAGCATATCAATGCCATGTACTGTATAAGGTAAACACACAATAATAAGACGGTTACAATATAACACAAAAAAAACCTTCACAATACCTTTTCTGAATGACTGCAACTAATGTGTTGTCTAGTGGCATTTGTAAACATAGTCCTTTCTTTCTTCTGTTACAGACCATCCCGGTTGTAGTGAGTCCGAACACAGGAACCGTTGCGGTGAGGGCAGGTGTCCAGTACGTTCAAACCACCGTGCCAGTACAAGTTCGGAGAGTGTAGCCTTTAACCAGAGCTCAACTCGCTCCTGGAAATGAAAAAAAAAAAAAAAAAGACTTTTGGCTTAACTCGGATGGAAACTTTGTATTTTTGGACCTAAGACTACACTACATTGCGAAGCAGCATTAGATTTGTCACATTGAAGCTGGAGAAAGTTACCATCTATTAAAATGGCTCTTTTTTTTTTGTAAATAATGTACACATTCTGGATGTCATTAAAACTAGAATATCATCTTTTTAAACTTGTACCGACTTTAACTTATGAACATTTGTGGGGAATGAATATCATCGATAATCCATCTCAAAACGTGAAATCCTTCAAAATCACTGTCATACATCATCGGCCTGGTCACATTTTGCGGTTTTTGCAATTTCCAAAATTCATGTGAAAATGGGACAAAAATACATGGACCTTTTAAAAGTAAAAGGCCGTTACATTCTGTAGATATAGAGAAGTTTTTATTCTGCGTAAGATGAAAACGTGGTGGAAGAAATCGCAAACCCTTTTGTTTTCCACTCGGCGTCTCGGCGAACTGATTTTATAGAATATATTGAAAATACTTCCGCTCAATATACATACATGGACAATATAAGAGCGCTTGGGGGAGGGTGGGGGGGAGAATGGTTAATGTACACTTTGCCCTTTTTTTTCTGTATTGGAAATTTAAAATATATAACAAATAATAAAAATCATAATAAAATCTGATTTTAAAATAGTAGGAACAGGAATTTAATACAATCTCAAAAGGAATTTGATGCTATAAAGCATGTATTTATACGGTAGAAAAATAAATTTCTATCAATGCATGAGGAAAAACCATGTTTAAAAAAAAAAAAAAAAAATAAGAAACAAAGTGAAAATCAAATTATGTCTGTTACATTTATACTGCAGTTCCATTTGTATGTTATGTAAATGCAAACATAGAACATGATCCAAGGTGAAATATGTATGTATATGAGAATTAATTGTACGATATCATTCCAGTACACTGTTGTATATTTTAGTCATATTAATTTTTGCCATTGTTTATATAGAATACAATATGTACAGATACCAGCTACATAGAAAAAAAAAATCCAAGTTATAAAGAAACAATGAGAGAAAAACATTTGTGCTCTGCAAAGGAAGGTGGAATGAGATCTAATCTAGCTGGCCTTGTTTGTGAAGCATAATTGCTTTTAGCATATGGAAGTATTTTTTCACATTTTGTTTGTATAAAATTTGTATTAAATCTAAACATTTTCTTTTTTTGATAATATTTTCTTTTTGTGTTTAAATATGTACAATATCATTTAATTGCTCTTAATATTTTATTTATTTGTTCATGATATTTTAAAAAAAAATTAATTATGGATTTTTGTTGGATAGCATGCTAACAAACAAATCGTTCGATTTAAGCCAAATTAGAAAAGTTGGGAAAAGTTATTATTTCACTGTTAGTGAATGAACATCAGTAAATGTTATGCAGGTTTTTTGTTTTTTTGCTAAAGTGGGTATTCTGGGAATTCAAAGTGAATTTACAATTTTAGGTCAAATTAGCAGAAATTAGATCATTTGTATTTAAAATAAAAAAGTCCCCATTTTGGAAATCTTGGCTTAAATTTAAAAAAAAAATTAAAAAAATTGTAATTCACTTTGAATATTCAACAGTACACATTCAGCCATGTAAGTCATGGTTTCGAGAGAGCCAAAAAAGGTAGATATCTATAAAACAAGAACAAGCTAATTTCATACAAAGGCTGTCAGTGCAATTTCTATTTGGCATTATATAGTGCCAACATATTCTGTAGTAATATACAATTTTAATGTGAGCTAATGGCAGCAATTGAAAACAAACTGTAGCAATTGTTAACATGATAGGTTATTGAACACCCTCCAAACAATCTAGAAGCACATTTTATTGTAAGATTATCAGCATTCATCTAGCATTAACATATTCTACAGAGATTTAAAACTATAGAAGTGGATATGAAGAAGACTGCTCAAAAATATAACTGGTCATGTTGATCTGCAGTCACGTAATGTGTGTGTTTTAAACTTAGACATACATTTTTGTAAAGTTCACTATGGTCTTCCTGTTTAATTGATCTAGCTGAAATTCAGTTATAATACAAAAAGGTATTCTTCATGTAGTAGGCAAAATGGACATATGACTAAGGCTAGCGGTCAACAATCTGTCTAACAGGACATTGGAAGAGGAAGATCCATCATGGATCAGCTAGAACAGAATTGTCCAGACTTGACACTCCAGCTGTTTTTGGTACGATACCCATAGTTTTGTCTAAATATTGGCAAAATATTTGGTTTGGACACACAAAATGGACCCTGATCTCTGCGTCTGACCAACTAAAACTAAATATTGTCTCTGGCAAACTTCTTTTGGATGCTAGTCCTTGCTATTTATGTGCCTACAATTTATCCCAGTTGTTTGAAGGTATTGTTTGCAAATATAATGGTATTGTTTGCAAAAAGTGATATAGGAAAATGCTTGAACTCATCACAAATTGATCAAACACCATTTAATATGTAAGTAGAAATCTGCACACTAGGTACTTGTTGAATGTCTCAGAAACAAGCCTCAGAAGTTGGTTCTCAAAATTGGCCTCATGGACCACAAAGTCCTCTAGGACTGGTGTGAGAAGCATCTACGACAGAGAGTACCCCGGCAGTGTCAAGAGGTAACACTACACATTACGGCAAGGAATACGTAACAAAGGGTCCAGAACATTACCTTCCAGGCTAGGGATCATGTCCAAGGTTATCTGCATTCAGTGATACTCTTCTCCACTATGCAGACATATTGATAAAAGGCGACGGTATAGTAACAATATGAGATAAGCAGAGTGAACTAGGAGACACGGATAAAGTGACTGCGATATATAGCGCTTTTTCTGTTTATACATTTTACTAGTGAGTGCAGGGAGCCAGCGTTGAAAAAAATTGTGAGGTGGAGGTAGGGAAATTGGCAAAAAGAAACAGGGGAAAAGTCTGGTAAATTGGGGTAAATGGACCATGTAGTAGAATGTTCTAAAAATAGATAGAAGTAGGGTAAAAACAATATTGAAAAAGGAAACAACTGGACAAGATAGGCATAACAGACAGAACTGTTGGAGAAGCAGAAATTATGTTAAAGGGTCACTACCAAACAAAGTGGCAAAATATTTAGTAGAAAGACCTGATAAGAAAAGGTGGACACAAGAAGGTACTAACCCGGATCTTTGCTTAGTGTAGCAGAACTTGAAATGCCTATCTACCCTCTGAAAAAGGACAGGATCTACATCTCTGAGCCAACTGCCATATAGAGGTCTTCATGTGCCGTTAGTCTGTAACCCATTGCCTCTTAAATGGAATTTGTTTTTGTTGCCACTAAGAGATGGTTCCTTTTATGCCTCATTATACCTTTAAAGACTCTGTGAGTTTAAATATCCAGGATATTCATATTTATTGTACTGGCTTTCTGTGCAGTCTTTGTCCAGTTTATGCATAAAGAAATTATAGTTTTGTGTACGCATGCAATGGCTTGTTTTTAATTTTATTACAAGACACGGAGGCTCGTATTTGCATATCCCTTTCTTTACTGTCCACTCCATAGCAGCAAAGAACATTAACAGAATTGAAAGAAAAAGTAGTACATGTCTCACACACAGGCCACGCCCCTTTATGTCCAGTATATTACCCTGGTCCGCCTTCCCATTTCCCTCTTTCTTTGCTGCTACCACGCCCGATAAGTACCTTTTTATTATACTCTGATAATACTTAATTTTCTCATTACTATACGTTTATAATTTTATTAATCTTTTCCTTACATCCTGCTTGATGTATTTTATATGACTGAATATTAATTCTTCGTTGTACTCCCAGGTTCCCAGACCGTGTGGGGTACCCTCATACTCACTAAGGGTACCCCACCTTTATTCCTTGTGAGAAATTACTGACCTCCTTCTCTCACTAAACTTTATACCTGATTTCTGGTCTCTGTTCAACGCTTTACCGCCATTTTCTCCCTGGGTACTTCTGTCTCCGCATTCACTCATTACCACATAGGCCGTTTGGCTGTTTTCCCTCATTTTATATGAATTTTTCATTCGAATTTTTCATTCGAATTTGCATTCGAATTTTTCAGACGAACAACTGTTCACCTTTTTTATTCACTTTACTTAAACCCTTCTATCTATTCAGTGCATTAATTCGTTTTTTTCTTTTCCCGCTCTTTTCTGGTCAACTCAGTGACCCTCCTGTTTCTCCTCCCCCCTTTTGGGACCTGCCCTCCTTCTACCAACGGTCTGGGCCCTGGTGAGAGTCTCTGTCTTCTGTCTGTCAGCATTTTTAAATACTTTTCTCCTACCTGGTTTTGAATATTGCAATTCTACTATTACTTTAACAGTCAGCTTGGGTGAATTACTCTCACTGACTTTATCCCTAGCATTGTTTTTACTATGCCTAAAACCAATATGCCTGTCTCCCCCGCCCATACGGATGGGGACAACACCACCCCATTAGGGGAGACCTCAGCCACCATGTCAAACCCGCTCTCTTCGGGTGATAACCCCCATATTTCAGAGGGACCCCAATTCACGGCGCTTCAGCGCTCTATGTCCGACGCCATTATGGCAGCAATGGGATCTATGTCATCAGCCCTCTCTCAGTCCATTGCCCAAGCCCTTTTGGCACGGCTATGGACACAGATCCCAGTGATTTAGGCTCAACCCTCACGCGCCCTATGGGACAGCCTGGTGACCAGGCACATAGAAAGGCTACGCACAAAGCCAAACATATTTCTCTCCCTGCCTCCAGAAACACCAAGACTGGCGCACCATTGGTCGCTCCTGAAAGCGTGACCCAAGCACGCAAATGAGCCTTTCCGCGCCAGGCAGAACGGGCGCGGCTTTGGAAATGTGCGAGAGCACAAATTGAGAGCGACTCCGACTCGGAAATCGGGTCAGAGGAGGAGGCCAAGATCGAGTCAGAGACCGACTCAGATACAGAGAGACCTGAGTGGGGC